GAACTGGTGTGCCATCAAAACCAGTGCCATTCTCATTGCTCTTGCTTGCATCTTTGTTCGAGAGACAGGTACCCAATGGGACATGAAGCGGCTTTCGTGATCCGACCATCCGAAGTTTCATTGATCGAGGCTTGATTGTGTACGGAAAGGAGGACAATGATGTGAAGTCATGGATTGACCAAGTGAATGAGAGATTCCCTACGGTTACCCAGAAATGCACAGCTTCGGCGATCTTTCAGGCAGAAGAAGATGGGCAAGCACTTGCGGACCACGTTGACGCTCGACTTGTTAAGCAAAGATTGGCTGAAATCAGAGACGGAGATCAAGTTGCAGTGCTCTTCCCACCTTGCGAGGTCTTGGCTTCTTTTCTTCAAATCTTGGATATGAATGTCTATTTTCCCATGAATTTCCCATGATTTTCCCAGGACTGCCGGAGGGTAGCAAGGGTTGTGGCAGACACAGGCGGACGGGCCTCTTCAGAAACTTCACGCGGCAGGCCCATGGGACGAGTGGATAGTCAGCGGGTTATGATAACAGGGAGGTACCCATCCCGAAATTAACATAGGAAATCATGTTATCATAGGAAATATATATTTTTCCCCATATTGTGGGAAATATTGCAAACAGGGAAATAATGTTATCATAGGAAAATATTGTGTTAACATGGGAAACTTAGGCCATGTGCATATTAAACAATATACAAGTGTATATTAATGTGGGTAAAAGAAGCCATTAAATAGGAAATATGGGAAAATCTGTGGGAAGATACAGGGAAAATATGGGGAAATAAGGAAAATCAGCTATTAAACAATGATGTGGGAGAATCATAGGAAAATATGGGAAAAAACACTATTTACATGGCTGAATTGTCCCATTATTTAGTCACTAATGTGGGTAAAACAATGCCATAAATCACCCATTTGGGAATAGTAGACCACCTATTTATGGTGATTTGGGGATGGTTTATGAAATTGGTTTACCCACATTAAAATATTGTTATATACACGCCGTCACGCGCACCGATCTTTTCTCCACGGCTGGAGATGAGCTTCTAGAAAGCCGACGAGGCAGAGCTTTCGGCCCACCTCCGGGCAAGGAGTGCGGTTCCTGCCAATGGTCTCCGAATCCACTGGTGCGGATGTGAAAGCTTCCCGCACATTACGGGTCATTGCCTCAGCTGCTGCAGCCCGCGAAGGACAACACACCGGACCAATGGACATCCCGGGCTTCTTCGATGATGATCCCCTGATGAAAACTATTCCAATCTGGTTTTCCAGTCAGGTGGTGGATGATCAAGAGATCAATGCAGTCCTCCCTTTCTTGAATATGGACAAGATTGAGGACTGCGGGATCAACGAATTTGTCTTCCTCGTGAAGACTGGTGCCCGACGGCCCATCGCTCCGCCACTTGGGGAGTTGAATGACTTCTGGGCGCCTTGGGATGAACCGTTGGAGGAAGAATCGAGATTTCATCTTTTGATTGCCTCCTGACACCCTTGCTTTGGATTTCGCAGAAACATCAGCCCATGAAAATGGCACCCCTTTGGAAAAACCATGTTCATTCTATTCATCACATTTCTGGGAAAAATGAATGGCTGATTTTTTAACCAGCAGTAAGGGAATACTGTCTTCCATTTCCAGCAAAATCAGCGTGTCTGAAATTGGTGCCTCTACCCCCCCAGTGGTGTGGGAAAACATCCTGGATTTTTGCTCACTCAAACCCAATGGAACTTGAACTGGATATGTTCAAACAAACCCAAATGTCTAGGTAAACAATGGGTAACTATGGTTTAGCAACTAGATACACCAATGTAAATATGGGTAATATATGTAACTATCTAGGTATATAGACAAACCATAGTAACTAATATTCGCTATAGATGTATCTACCATTACCCCAACAGTTATGAGGGTTATAAACCAACTTAGCTAACATAAATTAGCTACAAATTCCATTAAAAACATTTTTTTAATCACCATAAATCAGCTGTGAATTCCATTAAATCCTCATGTATTTCAGGAAATCCCCGATGTTTTTCGGTTGAATCACCATGTTTTTTCATGGAAAACCATGTTTTTTTCCACGGCTCCACCCCAGGTGCCGGGTCCTGAGAAATGTCTTGCCACTGTGGCTCCGCTGATCGTGCGCCCAGTGCAGGCGGAAGGGCATAAACCACATCTCTTGTGATTGAATTCTGGTGATTTAACTACAGAAACCCATATGTTCCATGTATGGCATATTTACCTACATTTGGATACATTTGGGTGATTTTTAGGGCAAATGTTGGTAAATATTCCATACATCTGGGTAAATTGTTCCGTAGCCATTTTGGCTCAAGCAAGTTTAATTCCGTGATGTCGCACATTGCAATGTGACGGCATAGCCTTCGTTCCATGCATGAGAAAGATTGGCAGAAACGGGACAAGCACGCGCTTGTGCACTGGATTTTTCCCTCGCTTGTGCACTTGGATTTTTGTTCTGCTCGTGCACTGGATATGCTTTGGGCTAATAATACATTAAGTAATGCAGATTATCTGGGCACAAACCTCCCCGCGGTGGTCTCGGGGCCTTCGCTCAAAGTTGGTTCGAATGTGCCATGGCATTTCCGGAGCAGGCAATTGAGAACGTCATTGACCTGTTCGACATTGACGAGGCCAAAGGTTGTCAAGCAGTTCGATCCAGAACCAATCTTCTTGTAGAAATCCAAGCTTATGCATTCTTTGAAGATCAAGTAGGGGGCACTTTCCGACAGTTGGTTCCTGAAGGTTTTGGGAAAGACCTTTTTTTGGCATGATTTCCTGACTATTCCGGGTGAAAACAGAGCAGATCACGATCATGAGCTTACCTTGCTTTGGGATGTTCAGAAAGCTTTGCCGGCTACTCAATGTATAACATCCTACCAATGTTTCTGCATTTCACTATGATGATCTCTCTTTCCGGTGCTTTGCGGAAACCCCAAGAAGCAGTCGACAGGCCTTTCATCCCTTAGAGTTGTTCTGTCGAGGGGTGGGAGGATGGACATCTGCATTGCAGATGATTTCTGACTCAGCACGCTGGCCAGTCCATGCTATTGGAACTGATGTTGACTTCCAAGTTGCCAAGACTTATGCGCTCAATCACAATGCTGCAGTAATTTGTCCAAAGGATTTTCTTCCCGATGACATTTTTCAGCTGTATGGGCACTACTAGGCAATTTGTGATAATGTTTGTTCCAATTTTTGGCTGCGACCAGTCACGAAGTGGGGGTGACCTTGTCACCATTAGTTCACCATGTGGCCCTTGGTCCACTGCATCCACATCACAGGGTTTGGTTACATCGGAAGGGCAACTGATGCTGCATAGTATCCTTGAGCGTCGCCTGAAAAAGCTACCTTTATTGCCATTGAGAATGTTGCTGGTTTTGCTGGACACCCTCACAAATCAGTAACTGAAAGAGCGTTGAGATGGATAGGCTATAGAATTATTCAATTGCAAAAAACATTGGATGCCAAACAGGCCATGGGTATCACGAGAGCGAGGTGGTTGCGGTAGCAATCCGAGTCCATGCGCAGATGCTAGCCAAGCCTTTCCCTGCGTGGAATGTGACAGCCACTCCAGACATCAACCATGAAGATTTCATCCTGCCTTGGGATGATGCCGTAACAGCAGATCTGACAATCTCCGAATCAATTCACAGGGTTGCATCCGATCCAGCCAAAGCGAGACTTGGCACCTCTGCCAAGCTTCCCCAAGAAGTGCTCCAATCAAGGATGTATGGGTCAACACAGGTGCTCCCTACCTTCATGGCGAGGTATGGAAGCCAACACAAGTTGTCCGACAAACACATGAATGAGTTTGCGTATTTTTGTTTTTTTCTCAGGCAGCCACACTTGATGCATGGGGTAGGTTGCTTCATCCTTCTGAAATAGGACTCATCCATGGAGAACGTCAGAACATGTTTGTGGATCAAGACATGGAGCTTGCTTGGAAAATCATGGGCAATTTGATTATGCCATATCAATATCATGCCATGATTCCCTTGATGCATGTTGCCAATCATTTCCTCCCGACAGACTTGCAGTCAAAGACTCACCAAATGTGACCTCAAACAAACGCATGTGGAACTTGGCACTTTTTACATGCCCCATGAAGTCACTTTGCACTCAGACTTTCTCGAGAGCTTGCCGTCTCTCTTGGATTTGACAGACTCTGGTGACATGCAGAAGGCCTGGATACCGCAGAGTGGATTGAGATCTTGGGACTTTGACCAAGCGCCACAGCAAGAACATACTCCCAACATTGCGAGACCAAATCAGCCCAATCTCAGTGGCCTCATCACCAGGCTCAGAACATGCATGCTCCGCAGTTTTGTGTGGAAAACTTACCACTTGTCAGGGTGAGCAGACATTTTGTTTCTCCTCAGATCTGCCAGCATCAAACCTGGAGCAGGCTTAGTTGAATCATTATGAGTGCAAGTTTCCTGAGATTGATGAAACGCATGCCGTCATGACCATGAACATTCAGCGAGTGACTCAGCACTGGACCACGCCAATAGGGCTATTCCAGGTACAGTTGCGCATGTTCTGATTGATGGGCAGCTCACTATGTTGCGCTGTGACCACAAAGTTGCCATCAGATCACATGATTTCATCGATACCCTGGCACCTGAACGCTATGATCAGTTTGGCTGTATCCCTGCTGCCCAATGCACTGATGATTATACACTAGTCACAAAGGTGCAACTCCAGCATGGGGTGCATTCTGCCGATTTCTTGGGCTTCTTAGCGGCCCGTGACTTGGTGCAGACCACATTCACTTGGGATCCTGATGCAGATGCCTTGATGGTGACGCCAATGCTGTACACATGGTTAGTCAGATGTGGCTTGATTCCATTCCCGCTGACGTACATGCTGCACTTCTTGGGTCGCCAAACAAAGATTATCCAAAACTCCAATGGGGTGATTTTGCGTTTCCTGCCTGCACATGCGCATGGTGTGTTGCCGCCCTGGCCCTTCCAGGTAACACTTGCTGTCCTAGCCTTTAGGACCATGATGACCAGTGCCTTGAAACATTATCCAGACATGCCGAGAAAAATGACCCTGCTCAAGTGGCTCACCAGGCCACTGTGGAATGCCGAGCTGCCCACAACTATGCCAGCTAGTCTGGTTTTGCGCATCATGCAACTTGCCTGCCAGCCCGTGAATGGGATCACGGAACATCGGTTGATAAGTTCAGGCAAACAAATCATGCCGGAGACACTGTTGCAGAATTTATCCAAGGCAGCCTCCAAAGACTCCCTGGTAATTCATGCAGTCATGCAGCTGAAAGGTGGTGGAGAAGCTAAACACCAACACAAAATGCTCCAACAGACCGCACGCCCCAAGGATGCTGCACTTGCATACAGCTGACACCCATCAACTGTTAGCCACGTTTTCAGAAACAGAACAGGTTCATCTAAGCAACATTGGGCAGAAGATGCCAATGGAATGTGCACCCATTGTAGCCAACCAGACTCCAAATACCACCGTATCTATGAATGCCCGGTTTCGCAGAAGACAAGAATGCAATTCCAAGCCAGCTTGATTTTTTTCAGGAAAAAGGATGGGATGTTCATGAGCTTCCTTCATGAGCAATCCTCCAACATGAAAATTATGAGCTGCTCCGTCAGCTGCACTATTGCCAAGCCGAGGCCTCAGTAGCAGTTGGAACCAAGCAACACCTGGCAGCTTTGGCTGACACAGGAGTCCCAGTTCGTTTCTACACTGATGGAGCCGTGATGGAGCCCTTGCCCATACAGCCTCCATCACCTGCCGTTATGGGGCGTATGCCATAGTGCCATAGTGTTGGACGCATGCACCACAGACCAGCAACGCATTGCACAGGTGCAGACTTGGTGGAAAACCAAACTGCCACCACCAACGCTATGCAAGCTAGCCATGGCCCGTACCCATGGACCTCAAACGATCCATCGATCTGAACTCACTGCAATGGTCTTGGTGTGCGAATGGTGTCCTAGCGCTGTAGTCCACACAGATAGCACTAGCGTTTTAAGAGTCTTCATGCGATGCCGCCTTGCGCAGACTGAGAAGGAATTAATAGCACTTGAAGACACTGACATGGTGTTACGCTTATTTCGCGCGCTTGCCAACGGAACGCAAGAGATACACAAGGTGAAAGCTCACCAGATTAACTTGGAGTCGCTGCCTGACCTTGCCGTATATGCTGCATTGGGAAACGAACTTGCGGATGAAGTAGCAGTTGCCACGTGTAGGTTTTCCAGCCTGAAATTCCCACATTAGCCGATGCCATGTATCATTATAGAACACTTGCAGCAGCTGTTCAAATTTTTCCTGCAGTTGAAAACCCATCTCGCACGCTTGCTTGCCATCAGGAGAGAGGGTGAGGCGAATGAAAACTTGCGAACAGATGTTGCCCCTGCACCGCTGCAGGTTTTTTCCACATGGACAATCACTGACCGGTGGCAGTCGCCACCACTAGGAGCTTATTTTTTTGGATTATTCTGCATGGGGGCATGGGGGGGCCCTTTTTGCAATTTGGTATTCAGACATTCAGATGGATGAATTTGGTCGAGTGGCCACAGTCACCGGACATCAGCGCTGGTGACCCAGGTGTCTGTCAGGTCGTGCTTCCATTGAAAAGAATGCGGCCATGTTCAAAAGGTGAATATCTTCAAACTTTCTCGAGCTGGTCACAGTTGGAACTGCACAAGGTGGGACTGGGAGAGCTATCCAATACCTTTTCCATTCTCATTTCACAGATCAGACGGCTTCATGGTTATGATCCCTGGCCTGCCCGAAGCCACGGTTTTGTTAAATCAGCATTTTTGCTTGGATCAAGGGTGCAATCATACGGGGTGAGACCGCGTCCGGCCTTCCCAAAACAGGCCGTGATATCTGCATACTTGCATGATTTTGTGCGTAAGTTTGAGAAGTTTGATTGATGCACTTGTAGAAATCCCAGGAATCAACTTGACACTGAGAGACATCGGCAAACCTCCAGCATGCTGGAAAACTTCTTTGAAGAATGTAGCCAAAGGGTATCAGATAGCAAGACAGTGGAGGGCTACGCCAGTCCGACCGCTTCGTTTTTAGGTGTCAATTTTTGTAGGTGCCACTTCAAGGTTCACACATGGACAGCCACTTCCACACGATTGGGGTGGCCTCTCTGGCAGGTGGAAAACGGGTAAATTATAACGACCTCACTGTTCTCCCTCACTGGAAATGATGGTTAGTAAGGGAAATCATCTTCAAATGGCCCAACTATTCAGGTAAGTGACATATTATGATTTACCCAGATCCATGGAGCATTTGGGATTTTTTTATATTCTTGGATATGTATTCGATATTTATTGGTGTTCAGCTATATATCCAACGTAGCCACAACTAAAATCTTACCAGCAAACCATCCCCAATCTCTGGTGAAGCAATGTAGGATGACGATTTTTCAGAGTCACTGAATGATGTTTTTGATTTTGAGGCGAAGGGATTGCTGAGTAAAGTTTGGCGCACGGTGGAATACGGTAGATGCATATCATATATATGTAATAGAAATCTAATGATATTTGTATACAATGATATACATATAATATATATATATACACATTTATATGGCGGTTCTTTTCATATAATAGGGGTATATCATGGGATTGGTTTGAAAAAATACAGGACTGGGCCCCTATTTCTGGTGGATTTTTCCGAATCAAACCCATCCAATGAGCCTGGGAGACAGTCGTCGCTCAGGCTGGCATTGGGTCTTTGACTGGGGTGAAAATGATTGCCTTTTCCCATTCATGGTTGCGACCGCGACTTTAGAACGATTTCACCACAGGCGATTATAAAACAGATGACAGGATCAAAAGGACATTGGTTGAACCATCAAACATGACTTAAAATCAGTCCCTCGGAATTTCCAAATTTCCCCAAGAGATCCGACTTGTTTTTTGCGGCGTTTTTCCAGGCTGTGCCAACATTGAAATCTGCAGTGGAAGTGAACAGGACCTGGAGGGCCCACTGGAGGGCCCATGAAGCTTGTCCCGATCCTCCACTTAGATGGACCCTGGGTTTAGTTCAGTGGTTAGTAACTGGCTTGCAATCATAGTAAAACCATGGGAAAATCATTGCAAAATCATGGGAAATATGGGGCGACAATATACAATAATGCAGGTAAAACAAACCATTAAACAATAATGTGGGAAAATCATAGGAAAATATGGGACGGTACACTATACATGGATGAATTATCCCATTATTTAGTCAATCATGTGGGTAAAACAATGCCATAAACCACCCATGACTGGGACTGGTAGACATACCACCCATTTATGGTGACTTGGGGGATGGTTTATGATTGTTTTCGTACTCACATTAGTCAGTAAAAAGTCAGTGACTAACCACTTGACTAAGACCAGGGCCCATCTCAGTACATGTTTATTCCCACTCCGCTAAGCAGCTAGGTCACGGTAGCTTAGCAAGCAGCCATGGATCACCTTGGGATAGACAAACTGGAAGGTCGACGTTCAAAGCAATGCTTAAACCATGGATGTTCGAAAGAAAATCAGGCCATCCAACATCGTCCCCAACTTCCTCTCACCCCGTGATGATTCAAGATAGATTGGAGGCCTCACTTTAATCCTGGCCCACCTGAAAAAATTGTGATCATTCCACAAATTCATGGACCCCCAATGCTTTAAATATGGTTTCTGGTGGGTACTCACTTTTAGCATGTATTCATGGAAAGTTCCATGAAAATACCCATTATATACATAATATATATATATATATGTACACATTCCATTGGAGAAAGGATTTGTAGCGCAGGAGGCTGCAACTGCCCGATGGAGATCTGGAAGTGATGCAGGAGGCCGCTTTCTGTCGGGAAACATCCTCAAACGGCCGAGTTTCTCAGCGGTTTTCAGCATAGTGAATTACCAAATGGGGGTAAAACAAAACCATAAATAAAGTATTTAAGGTTGGATGTATAGTTGGGTTGATAATAATATGATCTATGATGGTTATATTATATTCTAGGTAGTGTATTATCTATTGTTTTATTGGGGTTAATTTGGCTAAAACCATAAACCCTCCCCCAGCCATCACCATAAATAGGTGATGTGACTACCTTTTCCCAGTCATGGGTGGTTTATGGCATTGTTTTACCTACATTATTAATTCAGATTAATTCCGCCAGAAGAATGGATCGGATCTTCTATGGGGAAAAAATGGCTTTATAATAATAGAACACAAATTATATCACTAATTTTATCGCTAATTATATCACGAATTATGTCACTAATTTTATCACTATTTATATCACTAATGATCATTATTTCCCATTATAACGGATATAATGAATGGATATGCAGCAGATTATTAGTGCCGTTTCATGAAAACTTGCTGTGAGAATGATGGCACAATACTCCAATCAACCCGTGCGGCGATTTTCTTGGGGGCACCCAACAATACACAAAGAGAACCAGCACCTCAATAAAGATCGTTCATGTTCAATTGGAACATGTAAATCAAATGAAGGGCAATCCCATTACATCCTATTATTATCCCATGTCCCATTATACTCATTATACTCCCATTAGTATCACAATCATATCCCATTATAAACTAACCCATTAATTAGTATCCCACTATATATATATTCCCATGATCTTCCCATTCAATCTCATAAAACCTCTATTTCTGGAGGGTTTCCAAAGGAGTTTTTGTTAACGCACGGCGAGGCGAAGGACTGCGTCCAGTACTGCGTGCGTCGGGCTTTGCTGGCGGACTTTCTGGAGATGTGGTCCGACACGGAGTTCACTGATGAGACGTCGGGGCGACTCAGTTGAGCCATGAAGAAGTTATACACTGGTTAATCTATGGTTACTCTATGGTTAATCTATGGCTACTCTATGGTTAATAATGGTTAATAATTGGAACAACAATAGCCTGGTGAATTGATTGCTGGGGATAAGAAACTACCTGGTTTACTGGGGATGATAAGCCATGGGATTGGGAAACCGACCTATCAACCAACTAGTATTTCATGAGATGGGATAAATGGGAAAATGGACACCAGAAATGTGGGAGTTTCCAGCAGGCCATGTTTGATTCCCAGGGGCTACCTGACCCCCATGGAACCTAACGAAAAGGATGACTAATCCCTAAACCCTTCCCCCCAATATTTAACAGGCGCAGAAAATGGGTAGTCAATGGTTTTGTAGGGGATTTACACATATGACTGGGACCTACATATTTTGGGTGTGTTTTACTTGGGGGATGGGATGACATGTCGTTTGCTGTTGGTTTCATATCCTATTTTCCATTCGTTTTTCGGACCGTATTGCGGATGATAATCTGAATGACTCTCATGTCCTGATAAGACCACCCAGCAACAAAACTGATGATAAGATCCTGAATCTTGGTCTCGAAGATGTTCTACGGTTAGATGTTCATCATTTTCCTCGCAAAAACGTAGCAAAAGTGAACATGTTGACTGAAGCTATTCACGGCAAAACTTTCCCGGAGTACCGGGATAACCAAAGCATTCCACCATTTTTTTTGGGGGTTGGTGGTTTGGAACATGAATTTTATCGTTCCATATTTTGGGAATTTCATCATCCCAACTGACGAAGTCATATTTTTCAGAGGGATTCAAACCACCAACCAGACTATGTTGGAAATCAGTCACGTTTTTGGGCCATGCCTTGGCGAGGCAGTGCATGGATCAGCTGTGGGCGTTCCTGGTGAACGACCAGCAGGAGAAGTGTGGGAACTCAGCGAAAGGAGCTGGGCCCCTGTTATGTTGCCTGGTGCCCATCCAACTGAGTGAATGTATCCATGAATAAAACGCAGATCTATGAAATCCCAGTTTCACCTCGTGGAATAAACATAAACATCATAAACCAATTAATGGTATATATCCCATATCATATTAGATATCGTATTATATATCCCATAAACATCTATATAACAATTACCTTTCTCCGGGTCCTTTTTGCTGCTAAAAATCAATGGCATCAGCACCTCCAACGGCCTGGACGTGGCAGGTGTTACGAGATCGCGGTGAAGCAACTCTACGACGGCTCCTCGGGCAGCACGCCACTGTGGATGTACTATGCGCCGTGGCAACGCTTGCGAGGCAGGAGATTTTCGGAGATTTTGGGCGAGTTGCTGGTGACATACCACATATCAGGGTAAATTTCATCACGACCTCACTGCGACCGAACCCTGAGAATCATGGTTAATAAGGTAAATCACCCCCAAATGGCCGAACTATTCAGGTTAGTGAATTATTATAATTTACCCATACATATTGTTTTATTTTCAAATATGTTCAATCCTATTTGATGATGATCCAAATGAATATATATAATTATATATATACATGTTTGAGCAGGGTTGAAACTGTAAAACCACCAGCCAAAAGGAATCCAAAAGGATATTTTGACATGTTCAGCCGTGGCAGAAAAAAAGGAGCAGATCGTGTGAGATCGATGTGATGATCCTCCGTCAGAAAGAAAGATCGTACATGTAGTTCCTATAGATCAACTAGATCAAGCAAAACAACTATATGACCTAAAGCGACAAATGATAGCTGGGACAAAGGTGTCTAAAGTAGATCTTCCATTTAGAAATAAACTAGGTCACAACTAAGAGCTATATTTTATGGTTACCTTCCCTTACAGTAAGCCCTGAAAAATCTATACCTGAAATGGCCATTGATTGATTTTGCTCTGCTCAGGGAGCCACTAAGTGCCAGCATCTCAGAGCGAAAAACGTTGTGGCGTTGCGGCGTTGTGTTCTGCTCAGTGAGTTCAGCCTGGAGTCAACATGAGTCAACTCACCGCTGTATGAGACTCGAAACCAGACATTCAACCATACCCTTTGGTAAACTAACATAACTATGGAACATCACCATGTTTAGTAGGTAAATCAACTATAGTATAAATAGGCAATTTTCAATAGCCATGTTAGGTTACCGGAGGGTACCCTTTGGTAACAGTTTGCTATGGAAAATTACTGATGTCATAGGTAAATCGACTATAAATGGGCAATTCTCATCCATTTTCCATAATTAGCTATGTTAAATCACCAGAGGATAGTGAGCTAACTATACAAGAAGGAAATCATAGACACATTGCTAGGAATTAACTTGGAGCTTTTGACACGTCAAAAGGAAGGTGATTAGGACCTTAGTGTCCAGAAATCTCTCCTTGCAAAGGAATTCCACCGTTTTTGCATTTTGCAGGAGATGTTGGTTTCCCATCCCCCAAATCAATCTGAATAGCTCCCTAGATCCCCTGGTTTAGTATAGGATTTGTTCATATTGGGGATCCATATTGGGGCGTTTTAATGTTGATTGATTTCCCACCGCCATGTTTGTTTCACCAGAGGATAACAAGCTTCAACTGACTATTCGCCGCCCCTGTGCATCTGCGTAGCCACCCGGCGCTCATGGCTGTTGGCGATCAGGGGTTGAGGAGCCGCTAATCTGTCCTCATGGCATTGGAAAACCAGGAACTGCTTGGTGGTTTGGAACATGAATTTTATGACTTTCCATAGATTAGGTATAGTCATCCCAACTGACTTTCATATTTTTCAGAGGGGTTGAAATCACCAACCAGCGAACATCTTCCGTTTGCATGGCCCATAATCATTGCTTCCCCGGACCACACTGCGGATGGATGCGAAATTTTGCACCAGCTTGGACGGTTGAAACCCCATAAATCATGGGAGCCGATAAACCACCATTTTCAACTGGTGATGTCTTCCACGGTATTTCGAGCCATAGCAAGGTGGAAATTTCTCAGAAATAGCATCCTGCTGGATCAACTTGTGGCTGACGTCTGCTGATTTCTTTTTTGGATCTGACGGGGAGATGATGGGAGATGGAGTTATCACACATGTGAACAACTTGAAGATTATTATTTGTTCATTCTTTTAAAATTGTCCATGTTCAATATGTTAATCATGATATAGTCATGGTACGTCATGATTGTTCATTGTCTATTCATATGTTTTTTCTGTTGATTCATGCGTTTTTTCCCGAATTTGTAGCTCCTGCACCAGGAACAATGCCCCGCACTTGCCGAACACAGGTGCGTCTCGCGGCGCATCGGGTGAGTTTTGGTAGTGGAGGGTGGTCCGATGATCTTAGTCACCAAGTGATTGAGAACCTGAGTACTGTGGATGTTCCAGCGAAATCCTGCAGCAGTTGAAAACGGTTTGTTATAGGCGTTCTACCATCCCAGGTGGCGCAGGATTTCTTCCATCCACAGTATGTTTTAAAGACACGCATTTATATCTCGCCCTTGATTTCGCTGAACTCTTCGAGAAGGCGATGGAGAGAAAGTTTTTTGTTTCATATGTATATATATATATATATTACATATCCGAGTATCACCATAAAAATGTCTCGTTGAGTAGTTGGGTACCCATTACCCACAATTGGATGAGATACCCGATTGGTTAAATTGTCAGATTGTTATTGATACCCATTGGTGACATACCCATTGTTCAAATATATTCAAATCAATATATAGTAACAGTTTGGTTATCATTAAATTAGTTATACCCCATGTTGTATAGGATAGCCCGCAAATCTTATACTTAATTCCCCAGGTTGTTGTGAAACTACATTAAAACCGGCATCAGACAATCTGGTAATAGTCTGCGGCAATAGTTTCAGGTTATAATCAGACGTTGAATCCCCAGAAATTTAACCCATCATCCGGACGTAGTTTTGAAAGATTGGATTGTCATTCAAACAATTATTCCCATTTGAATGATGGCGTTTATCTTTTCATATTCTACTTTCTCCAGCTTGACTACGACGGGCCACGGGATTAGTTAAGTGGTTCGGGTTAGCGGCTTATTATCCATGATTTAATCTGTCTAATCCGGTTTTAGCCAGCTTTCACTCATCTCAGGGCCCATCTAAGTACAATAGCTATATATATACTGCTTGGTGGTTTGGAAGATGATTTTATTTTTCCATATATTGGGAATAATCATCCCAACTGACTTTCATATTTTTTCAGAGGGGTTGAAACCACCAACCAGATCTAAGTACAATAGCCATATAGTTATGTAATGGCTTTGTACTGGCTATATATCCCATAATTCCATAATCATCAAATTAACATCCCATTAATATCTTCCATCAATAGTTGATGTTCTTATTAAAACATCCATGTAAAGAGGATTTCCCAGCCAGCCATGTTTGATTACCGGCGGTTATATCCATGAATATTCCAGTACAATATTCCATTATGGTAATATCCCATGAGTATTCTATGATATTCTCACAATATATCCTTATCTTACCACCGCTTCCCATGTTTTTCCCCATTGTTTCCCATATGTTTCCCATGTTTTTCCCATATGTTTCCCATATTTTCCCATGTTTTCCACCATTTTCCCATGTTTTTCCCCTGTGCAGAAGATTTTTTCCGGTGAACTCAGTGCCAGGCGCTCCTCACAACCCGGCGCCACGGCTTGCGCCGCTTGCACAAAGGGGGGCCAGCAGCGCCTGCCTTTCCACTGGGAGGTGCAGCAAAAGATCCTGGATACCCCTGGTAATTTAACATAGCAAAACCAGCAAAACCAAGTTTTTTCTAGACTGACCTGGAACTTACCTGGAACTTACCCCATGTTGGGTTGCGGTTAGCCATCCCGGTAGCCATCTCTGTGTTAAAATCCGTTGAAACATGTTGGTTGATGGTAGAGGTTGATACTACAGGTTATAACGTGGGGATGATCATAATCCATGATCCAAACTCCAAACCTGTATGAGTTAGATCATCGCCTGGGAATCCATCATTATCCGATCTTCTTAAGATGGTTTGTTAGTCTCCCGATGGGAAATCCACTACTTGGGGAATCGAAAAAGGGAATATGTTATAATGTGTTGTTTAATGTTTTGGAGGTTCCGAACCAGCAAAACCAAGTTTTTTCTAGATGTTCAATTGGGATATAATTCGGATTGAGTGGGATAATGATCATTCACCTGGCATCCCGTGATCAACCAACATGAAGAAACCCTTTTGTAAACTAACGGTATGGAAAACACATCATAACACGCAAACCATGTTCCGATTTAAACCAGGTAATGTCCCACATACATTTTTATACGCGTACCCCAGGGCACCCATCAAATGTCCATTAAATGACCCTTAAATATGCTTAACTGCTTGGTGGTTTGGAACATGATTTTTATTTGGGAATTTCATCATCCCAACTGACGAACTCATATTTTTCAGAGGGGTAGGTATACCACCAAGCAGATATAGTGAAAAATATTGTCATTAATGGATAATAATGGATAATATTAATGGATAATAATTTATAATGCAATATCATCCCACTTTCGCTCGCAGGCGGCTTGGGTGCTGAAGCTGAGCCGGAGCCTGAGGTGAAGTTTCCGCGCATCGGACCCAGGACGACCGGAGATGGTCACTTTTTTTTGGTGATTTTGAAAGATGATTATCAATTATGGTAAACCGGTAACCCTTCTGTGAAGTTCCATTAAGCCAGCTATAATTCACAATGGGATATTAACTTATCAAGTTCCCCAAGACCCCAATAGGTGAATATCCCATAAGTTCATACCAACATCCCAATGATATTCCATCCAAATTCCATGTTACCCTCTGGTAATTTAACATAGCCATTGAAAATTACACATTTATAGATGATTTACCAAAATAAAAGATTGTGGTTTTCCATAGCAAACCGTTAGTTTACCAGAGGGTAAAAGGGTTCCAATAGGTTAATATCCCATTGATAAGTTCATATCAATAACCCAACGATATCCATCCAAATTCCATTCCTTACCCTACAGTGGTTTTTCCAACTAGGAGATGTTAAGTTCCATTCAACCAGTTGGGGATGTTACGTTCCATCAAGCCAGTTACAATTCCATGTTACCTTCCCAACAGTGAAATTGGAGTTATACCACCTCGTAGCTCCCTCCTAACCACTGGATAGATAATTCCAAGAGGTTAATGAGTTAATATCCCAATAGGTTAATATCCCATGGATAAATATTGATAAGTTCATATCAATATCCCCAATGATATTCCATCCAAATTCCTTTCCCTCCCAGTGGATTCTTTTCCCAAATAGGTTGATATCAATATCCCAATAGGTTAATACCCCAATAGGTGAATATCCCAAAAGTTCATACCAACATCCCAATGATATTCCATCCAAATTCCATGTTACCCTGTGGTTATTTAACATAGCCATGGGAAATGGCCCATTTATAGAGGTTTACCTATTAAATGATGATTTTCCATGGCTATGTTTAAAATAACCAGATGGTTTAATGAATATCTCCAGTGGATGAGTTGATTTAGTGGAAAATTTATGGAATGTTTAATATCATTTTTAATGAGGGATGATTTAATGAATCTTAATGAGATGTTAATGGAATATCCTGTGGATTACTATTCACTAAATCCATGAATCATCCCTCACTACGATTCATCCACAGGGATTCACTAGAATCTAGTGATTTAATGGAATATCCTGTGGAATTTATTAACTCTATTCAATGGAATATTAATGGGATATTATTAAATCTATCTAATTGAATTTATTGAATATCCTCTGGATTTAATGGGCATTGATGGGATTGGGTGGAGTTGAACAGGGTTTTCGTGGGATGATTTAATGGAGATATTCAAAAAAAATGGAGCTTGAACCGTTAAGAAATCGATATTGGGATTGAATGTGGAGAAAATGGATGAAAATGGAGCTTTACCAAGAAATGGGGATGAAATGGAAGCCACATATTGTTAAATTAGATTTAATGGAATATTAAATGGATATATTAATCTGGGTGAATTATAACGACCTCACTGTTCTCCCTCACTGGAATCATGGTTAATAAGGGGAATCATCCTAAAATGGCCTTATTTCAGGTGTGTGAATCATTATAATTTGCCCAGATTAATGCAATAGCTGGATATAAGTTAGAATTATATAATGCGATTTACTGGATATTGTTACCTTCTGGCTAAAGTTATTTTGGAATACTATAGCAACCCCCAAATAGATAGAAACACGTGATTATCACTATTTTAGCAGTATTTAATGTGTCTATCTATTTTACTAGGATATGGTTACCCTCTGATTCTGGAACATTTAATGAAATATTCCAGTATATATCATTATCGAACTATTCTGGATATTATAGTTGGTGATTACGGAAGATTGATGGAACAACAGTGTTTGTTTTGGAGTGTGGCCTCTGTGTGCTACCGCCACCCCTGGAGCGCGGGCCTCCCATAGTTCTTTGATGACATCGAGCTTCGATGGTTCGTTATGGAATAATTAGTTTGGGTGGAAACGCGGTTAGAAGCTCAAGAATTTCTCTAAGAGGGACATCTTGGAAAACAAGTTACCTGTTTTTGCTATTGCGACATCTTGCTTTTCGAGGATGTACCCTCTGGTAAACAAACATAGATATTGAAAATGGCCATAGAAATAGTTGATTTACCCATTAATAGCATGGTGATTTTCCATAGTTATAGTTTACCAGAGGGTATCCAAAAGAAAATCCGTCATGTAAGTCCAGGAGTCCAGCCCCTGCACGAGAGAACTGGGACAAGGCCTGGCATGGAATGGCACCGGGAGATCTTGAAAAACAGTGGAGAACCCAAGGAATCCATACATGGGCAATGGGTAAAAGGACCTCAATATAGTTCCATTTCAATTAGTCTCCGGTAATCAGCCACATGGCAATGGGTGATGTTAAAATCCCAAATTTATAGGGATACATTGGATTTAATATATACTCCCCAATGGCTATTATACAAACCTATTAAATCTTTACTCGTTAACATTCCCCAATGGGTTATATTACCATTAAAACTTCCATATCACTCATATCAGCTGGGATTTCCCGGCTAGCCATGTTTGATTATCGAAGGGTAGCCGCCCCAGGCGCGCTCACAAGTGGCCGCCTACCTGGGCCAAGATGGGCCGCCATCCGAGTCCAGTGAGGAGCCGAGCTTTAAAAAAGGTGGCTCCAGTGGGTCAAAATAATTTGATCCTCAAACATCCAGAAACACCTCCAGATATTTTCTGGGGATAATAGATGGTCCATAATTACCTATACAAAACAATAGATGATTTACCTATTTATAGATAATTTTATAAAAGATTGTCTCAATGGGAATTTCAGGATCCTAAAATGGAGGTACGTTAGTACCATATAAGGCCATATTTTGTGGGGATATTCACTTACATAGGCCTGAAAAATAGGCCTTATATATGGTATAGGTACCTCCAATAAATCGGATCCTGGAAAGGCCATTGATGAGTCCATGAGTTGCCCAGCCAAATATGCCCCCATCGGATTTTCCAAGGAGATCATCCATCCAAATTTGAGTCGATCTTAGATGGCTAGAAAATAATCCAAAATAGTCGGGGATGGTATGGGATTATCTACTAACTCACCAGCTAAGAATTGGTCATTTTTTGCAAGGTATCTGGCTGATTGGCCGTGTGCAGAAACATGACTTGTTGGAAAGTCATATGCTGTACCCTCTGGTAAGCTGCTACATAACTATGGAAAATCACAATTTTTAATGGGAAAATCAACTATAAATGGCCATGTTCAATAGCTATGTTAAATTACCAGAGGGTAAATGCCGATGCCGATTTATAGGGAAATTCCTAGTGCCGTCTTTGATTCCAAGCGGGTTTTAGTGGCCGATAAGCGTCCTAGTTTTCATTGCTTCGGCTGGCAGACTCCGAATTTCTCTGGTTGGTGGTTTGGAACATTTTTTATTTGTCCATATAGTGGGAATAGTAATCCCAACTGACTACCACCAACCAGTTCTGATCAGTTCTCCCATTGATATCCCCTGTTGAAATTCCCCCTATTCATCGACCCACGAATCCAGGTGGAATGTCCTGGAATTCTTCGTGGGTTCCATCCTTTCAAGAAGGGTCATGTTTCGAATGCATTACATCCTCTTAAATGATATCAAAAGATATTATATGTGTTTTAAATTGTATAAAAACTTGTATAGGAACGGTATAAAAATGGCATAAAAGTGGTATCAAAATGTTTTTTTAATGGTATAAAAATCTCTGGTTTGGCTTCACTTCAGCTTTTGGCCAGCGATTTTCACAGCTCCGAGTTACCTTTGGCCATAACTCTGGCCATCGCAGGAGCCGGAAGTGGACGAGGAGCTGCTGGGTACAAATGTGCGGGAAGAATTGAGGATGGTTAGGATGCTTAGGATGGTATTTTAATGGTGATTTTAATGGGAATTCACCAACCAAAATGGTGGTATTAATAGGAATTACCCCCGGGTGAACTAACAGTTTGCTATTGAATATGGCCCAGTCGAAAGGGTTGATTTAGCCATTAGTACTCGTAGCATGGCGATTTTCCATGGTTTTCTGTATGTTTGCCACCTCTTTCAGCCATAGATGATTTCACATGTTGCTCCCCCCGATCAAATCAGGTAATGGGACCTTGACGAAAAATCATAGATGTTTGTTGGTTTATAAACCATAACAAAACCCCCATTAACTATAGTTTTACCTACCATAAACCATGGAATTCAGCTACTTATAAAGCAACTGAACGCTATCTTGGGGGCCCCATCCTGTAAGATCCCAGTCCAAATGGAACCATTTTGGGTAATTCAATATGTTCTTTTCATGTGGTTTAATTGAAACCCTCATTCATTCAAGTAGGGCTTAAGATAACTACTGAAATGGATAACACACAGTTCAATCATTATTTAGTATTCATTCTTGCTTTCCCATGTCTTTGTTTTAAAAAATCCATGGTTGTTCAATTTGTTCCAAATAAATTCCATGGTTTTTCCATGTTTTGTTCAAAAAAGCATAGTTTTCCAGATTTTTCGATACAAAACCTAGAAATTCGCATTTTTTGTATAGAATCCTATGGTTAGCCACAGCTTTTCGCAGGTTCCATGGTCCGCCTAGGTCTCCAGTGGCCTTGGAAGTGGAGCTGCAACGCTTCTCGAAGCTCAAGGCAGCAGTGCTGGCGGCGCAAACGGAGGAGGAGTTGGAGCAGGTGAAGGCGGAACAAACGGGGAACTTGGGATTTTTCATTGGGTTTAATGGATATGATATCATGGGACTTTTGATGGGATTTATATCTAATTCCCTGATTAACCATAGTATAGCCCCCATGGTTTTATTCCCAATATATGGTAGATTGGTAGGAACTATAGTTTATGGTAGATATAACTATAGATTAAAATTTACCTGATTGGTGGTTTGGAACATGAATTTTATTTTTCCATTCAGTTGGGAATTTCATCATCCCAACTGACGAACTTATATTTTCAGAGGGGTAGGTATACCGCCAACCAGCTTTTACCCTTGAACCATGGGAAATTGATATGAACTTTTGGGATATTCACCTATTGTGGTATTAACCTATTGGGATATTGATATCAACCTATTGGGGAAAAGAATCCACTGGGAGGGAAAGGAATTTGGATGGAATATCATTGGGGATATTGATATGAACTTATCAATATTTATCAATGGGATATTAACCTATTGGGATATTAACTCATTAACCTCTTGGAATTATCTATCCAGTGGTTAGGAGGGAGCTACGAGGTGGTATAACTACAATTTCACTGTTGGGAAGGTAACATGGAATTGTAACTGGTTTGATGGAACGTAACATCCCCAACTGGTTGAATGGAACTTAACATCTCCTAGTTGGAAAAACCACTGTAGGGTAAGGAATGGAATTTGGATGGAATATCGTTGGGTTATTGATATGAACTTATCAATGGGATATTAACCTATTGGAACCCTTTTACCCTCTGGTAAACTAACGGTTTGCTATGGAAAATCACAATCTTTTATTTTGGTAAATCATCTATAAATGTGCAATTTTCAATGGCTATGTTAAATTACCACAGAGTAACATGGAATTTGGATGGAATATCATTGGGATGTTGGTATGAACTTATGGGATATTCACCTATTGGGGTCTTGGGGAACTTGATAAGTTAATATCCCATTGTGAATTATAGCTGGCTTAATGGAACTGCACAGGGGTTACCGGTTTACCATAATTGATAAGCATCTTGGTAACTCATGGAATAACATTTTATCATTGGGACATGAACTGCAAATGTTCGAATGGTGGCTTTATAGGCATATCACTGATGATCATTGGAATGTTAACCATCAACGTTTGGGATTCCGTAGCGAGGGGTTCACCACCAAATTCATCAACAAAAGGATTTGTATGGGGTTCAGGTAAAAATCCAGACACCGACCATGAAGGTTGCCATGACAAACGTCATCCTAAGAAAAATAGTGTAATTGAAAAGAAGAGGATGGTTTATTCTATCAGGTAGTTTTCCCGTAATTATCTCACTAATGTTTGCCATCCCGCTGGATTATTCACACTTCATGGTTTGGTATGGTCATAAATTCCATGAAATCCAGAATTATACCCTCTGGTAATTTAACGTAGCTATTGGAAATTGCCATTTATAGTTGATTTACCCATTAAAAGGTTGTGATTTTCCATAGCAAACCGTTAGTTTACCAGAATTATACCGTTGTTGTTGGCTAAATCCCTTTGTTGTCTAAGTAAGTTATTCTCCCCCACTATGATCCCAACATATTTTAGCCAATGGGAAATTATCCCATCTCCCCATTGTTAAGCAGACCCTAGAAACAATGGTTTAGTAGGGGATTTATACATATTTAGGACCATTTGGGGGGTGTCGTGTATTAGGCGGGTGGGTTTAAAAAGATCAATTTATCATCCACTTCAATCCCATTCTATCCCATCAAATCCCAGTTTCATTCCTATGAAATCCCATTTTCCCTATGAAATCCCATGGAAATCCTATCTATTTCATTACATCAACCTTTCGTCCAGGCTGCCATGAAGCCGGGCAAATGGCCATCCGCAGCACCCTGGATCCGCCGCGGCCCCACGCTGCAGGAACGCCGCAGAGAACGGACAGCGGAGGAGCCGGGCCGGCAGCGGCAGCGATGGGTCGGGTCAATTCGTTTGGTTTTTTACCTCTGGTAAACTAACAGTTTGCTATAGAACATCACCATTTTTTATGGGTAAATTAACGAACTAAATGGCAATTTTCAATAGCTATGTAACAAATCACCAGACGGTAACCTCTATATGTGAACGTTTCCCAGGTCATGAGGTGAAGAATATTGACAAATCTGCATCACAACACCAAGTATGTCACTATCATGAGTCATAAGTATCACCACCTGACACACGGCCTCCATCTTACTAATAAGGCCATTTGGCATTAATGTCAACTCTGGATTAATAAACCCCAAACGGCTGTTTAATTGGGGAGGTACCATTTATGTACCATATTGTGACTATTTGGAGGGTACCCCCTAATAAATAAACCATGGTTTATTAATCCGGGGTTGACATTAGAATAAATCATTAATTATGGGATCATTATGGAGAGGTTTCCATTTCTTGGCCCACTTCATTGGCCCAATTGGGACCTTTGGGACGTTTTGGACTTGAAGGCGTCGATGTTCAAGACGAATGAATGGCACTCATTCGTTTATTTTCTTTGAGAAACCGCAAACAAAAAAGGAAGAACTATATCAATATCTTATGCTTATCGAGGTTTAATATCCCATGGGATGAAATTGTATCACCACATAATATATAATATGTGGGAATAAATAGGGGATGTATGATATCATGGGACAATGGTGATATTTCATGAAACCCTGTTGATTCCATCTCAACGCGGGGTCAGGTTGACTGGGTTGCACAAGCTGGGCTGAAGCCACAACTCTTGGTAGCCTGGCGAGTTTGATCGATCCGGTAACGGGGCTGGCTGGAAATCCACTAGAAATGGTGGGTTTCAATAGGAAAATCACCGAACTAAATAGTGTATTTTCCAGTTGCCATGTTTGATTACCGGGTATTCTGCAATGGGGAGCCAAGGAGATAGGATTAAAAGCTTCCCAAGCAAAGCTTTCCCAAGCACATGCTGGGAAGCCTGTGGATTTTGGCAATTTTTGATCGGAAATTCTAGGCTACCCGACGAAAAATCCAAGTTTTTGTGTAAGGTGTCCACAAGGTGGTGCCCCAGTTCGGAATCGCTAAGTTGGTGAACATAACTCCAATAACAATGGTAGATATATATATATATAGGTAAATTATAACGACCTCACTGCGACCTCACTGGAATCATGGTGAATAAAGGGAATAATCCCAAAATTGCAATATTTCAGGTTAGTGAAATATCATTATTTGCCCAGATATATCTATACTTAATATTATTTATAGACTAACTTATAGCTGGGTGGGGGCACCACCTTGCAAGATTGGCTTTGAGATATGCCTACAATTTCACATGGGTACGGGGACTTGAAGTAGCTTACCCATAGACCCACATCATTTTTTTGAGCCATGCAGATCTGGATCTGGGAACCGTGGTCGCTACCTGAGGCAAACATGGTGGAAATGGCCAATGCAAAACGTGAATCACACTTTTTGTTTCATGTCAAGCTCCTGTTGCCAGGCAAGAGTTAGATTGCCAGGTAAGGCACCCCATGGTGAGATCCCCAGTCATCTGGTGACATCTGGTGACGCTCCAAGTTCACCAAGGCGCCACAAGAGCCGAAAGAGCCAAAGCACACGCCGCGAGTTCAGGATGGGTTGCCCAACATGTAACATCTGGTTATGACTCACATAGCCATGGAAAATCACCATTTTTAATAGGTAAACCATCTATTTCTATGGGCCATCTATACCATGGCTATGTTAAATAACCAGATGGTAATTGAAGTGTGATCGGTTCTAGGTGGTGTAATATGGTGCAATGATGTGTTTGTTTATTTCTGAGTGCTAGGTTTTAGGTGGTGCAATGATGTGTTTTTCTTCCCCTGACTAGTTAGCTAGCAAAGCAATCACAAACCACCCATGTTTGATGACTTTTGATGATTTATACCACCCATTTACGGTAAAACTGGAATGGTGGATCTTATTAGAAACATGGGGATGGCCCTGATGCACCTTCTCTGGAGGCGACAGAAAGCCCTCTTTTTGCAAGCCAGAAAAAACATAGAATTGGGGATTTTTCCATTCTTTGAGGATTTTTGCCAGATGCTATCAGATTATCTCAGATTATCTCAGATTATCTCAGATTCACATGTTTTCACAGTTTTTGTTGCTTTTTATACCCTCTGGTAAACTAACATAAGTATGGAAAATCACCATGTTCAATGGGTAAATCCACTATTTCTATGGCAATGTCCAATAGCTATGTTGAATTACCAGAGGGTATCCATTAATATCCATTAACATAGTAATATAGGGTTTTAATAGATCCTATACACTAATATCAATAGGGGATATATAGAGAATAATAATATTACCAGAGGGTACCTACTGTGGGATGGATTCATATTCCGACGTTGGAAGATCTCGTCGAGGCGTCGCTGCTGCGCCGCCTGGTGCCCCTTCCGCGGCGAAATCATGGCGCCGGAAACGGCGCAGCGGCAGGACGGGGTGGACAGCGGGCACAAAGGTCGGAGGATCATCTGGTGAAATGAATTAACCATAGATGTTGTTGATATACCCTCTGGTAAACTAACATAGCTATTAGCTATTGAACATGGCCATTTATAGTTGATTTATAGGTTTAACCTAACCATGAATGTTGATTTAAGGATGGCTAGGATGCTTAGGATGGTATTTAATGATGGTGATTTTAATGGGAATTCACCAAACCAAAATGGGTGTATTAATAGGAATTACCCTCTGGTATCCTCTGGTAAACTAACAGTTTGCTATTGAATACGGCCATAGAAATAGTTGATTTATCTATGAATGGTGATTTTCCATAGTTTCTTGTATGTTTACCAGAGGGTAACCATAGATATTGTTGATATAACCAGTGGACCTACTTGTAGATCACCAACATAGTCTATGATGTTTATGTTGGAAGCATTAATATTTATGTGGAAAAATAGATCGATATTGTAAATAGATTATGTTGGATCTTTACCTTCTAAGTCGAAATATAATATGGTGATCAATTTAAAGGTCACTCTAAAGAGTCTTAATTGCGAAGACCGTTCGTATTATGTTGGGAACCCTTGCGAAAGTTCCCGGATAAAGGAATTTTGATCAACAACCATATGGAGATTTATAGCTGGGGAAATATAGGGAATCGTTTCTTAAGTGGTTGGTAACTGGCTTGCTGTAAGTGACTAAATGATGGTTAGTAACTGGTGATTGTTTATCCATTGTGATTTTTTATTGCACCATTTTTGGTTGTTTTTTTGCGAACTGGAAAATCATCATTTGAAGTTCGGTAAAGCACCATAAATCATTGAACCAAATAGGACATAGTTTCCATAGCTATGTCCAGTAACCGGAGGGGAACTGGGTGATCCTTGGTTAGATACTTTAGTACCTTAATCTTTTGCTATAATGATATTTTTTGGCAGGTATCTAAGATTTTGTTACTTTGCGTGTCGGCCTTGGGTTTGGTGAGTGATTTGTTATTTTCCCATATGTCAGTCCACCATTTGATGAATCTACTGGTGATGGTTTAGGTGTACCTCAAGCAAATTCATACAGGAGCTAATGTATTCATGATTGGGGGACGACCATACCCCACATGCTATGAACTTCAAGCCAACAGCTGGGCTTCTGCCATTTCAGGTACCTAAATTGGAGGTGCGTACAGTATATAAGGCCTATGTAAGGGCTAAATTTCAGGGGATATGCTTCCAATATGGCTTATTGTGGTACAGTACCTCCAGTTTAGGTACCTGAAATGGCCATTGATATTTATATACTGCATATATATATATATTTATTTATATCGATTTGTATGTTTTTTATTTTTTCATTCGTTAACTATACATTTACATTTAAGTATAGCTGAACCCGCGTGGCACCACATTACATTATACCTTTGAAGTAACAGCACGCAGGTAATCTAAATATAGATAGATAGATAGATAGATTGCACAATCTATCATCGATAGTGTAGACTGGTGGTTCCAAACATCCCCACCCCATCTGCAGGAGACCCCAGCCCCCAAAACCACGACTCCCACGAGACGTCGCTGGACGAAGAGCCGTCGCCCGCAACGTCGCCGTTGCACGTGACGTCGCTCAGCACGGAGCGGAAGCTGCGCCGCGAGCTGCGCCGGGCGCAGAACTTTGTGCAGCTGCCGCCATCGTTGCCCATGTTGAGGCCTGGGTAACCAGCAGACATGGAGCTTCACCCGTTTTCAATGGGATTTAATAGATATAGATGGGAAATGATGGGAATAGAATGAGATCACAAACGGATAAATGGGAAGTTCATCTATAAATTTTATCAATGATGCATTTCAATTGCCACCCAGTCGTCAAGTCAGTTCCCAAACAAGGGTCTGAAAATGGAGAGATGCCCCGAAAATTCCTTTCCGAGTTCGGAATATGAACTCCGGTATACGGTATACCCCTGTTTGGGGTCATTCATAATAACCCCCCAAAAATAGTTGTTGAATGGGATAGTTTATCATTGCTAGGATGAACCATAACTAACTGGTTGGTGGTTTGGAACATGAATGTTATTTTTCCATATTATATGGGATAATCCTTCCCAAGTGACTAATATGTTGCAGAGGGGTAGGCATACCACCAAGGATACAATGGGAATGACCCGGAACGTTGACCTTCCCATGTCAGATGCCCCATGAATCTCTTCATCGCTCTAAGGTGGTGTAAAAAAGTGAGCGATTAATCGCGTTCAGTTGGTGCAAATACCTCCAATAACTGTTGGGTTTATGGTAGATATATCATTATACTTATATACTAGGGTGTATCACCTTATATCGACAACAAGCAACTGTTAGGTTTTATAAACCAACAAACATCACTGGGGGGTCGAAGGTTCGCTTGGGGGGGTACCACCTTATATCGACCATTGATCTTTCATGGGGGTTCTAAGCATCTTGCGGGTAATTTTGATAGGGACGGATGAAGGCATGCAAGTAGATTCTCCAATCTTGGCTGCCCTAGCCAGCTTTAAAAATCCTCTGGTAATGAAACGTGGCTGGAAAAGCCTCTATGGACGGATGTTGAATCGGAAAATGATCAGATTCTGCAAAAAAACAACCAGAAATAATTTTCGGGATTTTCCATAGCAATGTTGGTTTAGAGGGTGTGTGTTTCCCATGAAGGTCACCGTTAATTCAGGATGAACCTGCCAGAGGCACAAATAAATTTCCAATTTAAGCAGCACGAATGCGGTTGAAGCGACAAAACAACAGACAAATGATAGAAAGAAACACGCATGAACAAACTGGTTGGTGGTTTGGGAGATGTTATATTTTCCATATTTTGGGAACAACAATCCCATTTGACTAATATTGTTCAGAGGGGTTGAAACCACCAACCAGACAATGATGGGTTTGGATGGACATTATATAACCAGTATTGAATGGGATTGAATAGGAATCAACCATTTCTGAATGGTATGCGGTATACACAGCAATATTGTCAACAACAGGTGTGTTTGAAAATAGAAAGCCAAAATAAGGGTGTCAAAATTTTGAAATCAAAGTTTCCTCAACAAAACATGCAATACCTTCCAGTAAACGTTTACATAGATGTGGAAAATCATCAATTTATAGATTATTTTCCCATCAACACCTTCATGTCCAAGGTATTTTCCCATTATATAAAACATCCATATTTACAAGGTATTTTCCCATAAACCTCCTTTCACCGAAGATTTTCCTACAAAAACCATTGGGTAACCCGAGAGGGGCATCGGCTCATCGCTGAGGCCCGCTCTACCAACCCCACCAGCACCCAGGACTGCGTAGATCTTATCCACCAGCTACGGTGGATGGTTGCGAAATCACCAGTTGACAGATGGTTTATCCCACAGTCCCACTGTTACCAGTTGCATACAGTTACCAAGTGGTGCAGGATTTCGCCACCACCAGCTAACAGCTAACTAAGATGATTGAATCCCATGATCGACCCCAGATTCTGGTTGATTTCCCTCCCAACAAGGAGATGGTGAAAGACTCTCAGCGCTAGGTTTCGCAAGTTGGGAACCAAAAAGAGATCTGGTTTACCGTCCCCACTCCTGATAGTCATCAACTGCAGATGCCCCAGTTGGTGAACGCGAAGTTGGTGAACATAACTTAGGTAAAATGGTTGATATGTCTATAGCTACTTTGTTTTCCAAAGCATTTTAGAACTGGGGGGGTCTCCACCTTATGGGGTATATAATATAGGTTTTAAACAAGCAGGTTTTACCTTACCCAAAATTGATCATCTAATGATTGACATGCATCCTCCGTGACCGCATTACGCCCGCACATTTTTGCCCAACTGGAGGTTTCAGAACCTATAATTTCACCTCAAAATTCACTTTGTTGTTAACACACACATGTCAATGAATTCGAGGCTTAAAAAGGAAGATCCAATAAACTCCAGGATTCTATTTCCCATCCTTCATGGATGTTTCGTGCTGCCATGGTTTCCGCCTTTGGTGGCCCTTCCGCAGCCGTTCCGTGGAAGTCCGTGGCCGCCGGCCCGACCCTATGCGGATCCCGTCGCGCAAGGCCGCGCGCTGCGGTCGTTGCCTGGTGGCGGTGGCGGCAATGGCAGCAGGTCGGAGCCGAGAAGCGAGACTTCGGTGGCCAGAGGAGGGAAGATATGGAAAGATGATGGTTGATGATGCCTAGTGGGTAAAACAATGCCACCCATTTGGGAATGGTAAACATACCACATAGCTCGAACGATTGAATGCAACTGGGCACGGCCGCCGGGCAGCAGTGTAAACATACCACATAAAAATGGTGATGACTGGGGAATGCTTCTAGATAGTGGGGTACTAAGATCGCCAATAATCACAAGGAAATACGTATGGGGATAGGATGGGAGCGGGGAAAAGATGGGGTTTCCATCACTGAGGGTATCCCAATAGAATGATTTATTTAATGGATTTTTTAAATGGACATTTCCATATGGGAATGATGATGGCGGATTGGTGCTATGATTTTTGCAGCCGGTTCACAAGGTAGGGTAGACAATATAATGGAAGGAAATATGTGGGCAGAGAATGCGTAACGAATGGGACATGTTTCAATGTGGCCACAAAGCTGGGAAAATCCAAGAACCATCAGATATGTTTATATTTCAAGATGATCCATTGATGAATAGATTGATCTGGCTTCATTTGTTTTCTGGGTTTGTTCCAGTGGATTAAAAAGAAGCATTGGAGTTGCTGTTCATGGAAGCCGTCCAATTTAGCGGCTATGCACGCTTAGGTCACAATGTTGCGCACAGATCCAGGGATCCAAATTCTGGGTTGCCGATGATGGGTCAAAGGTGAACAAGACCCTATATAATATACTCTACTTAGATGGATCACGGGATTAGTTACCATCTGGTTATGACTAACAGTTTGCCATGGAAAATAACCATGTTTAGGTTCGGTAAACCATCTATAAACGGGTCATTTTCCATGGCTATGTTAAATAACCAGAGGGTAAGTGGTTAGCAAGGGAGTTGTCATATGATTGAAGTTATAACCATTGATTTAGTCAGTTTTCCCCAGCCAGTTACTGGCCGGTTAACTTATCCCAGGGCCCATCTAAATTAGAACGGCTATATGATATCATATAATGGCTATATATTCAATATCCCATCATCATCATCCCATTGATCTTCCATTCCTATCCCATGTTAACCTATTAATATCCTCCACTAATAGTTGATAATTGATAAGGTTCTTGTTCCATCAATATTCTCCATTCATAGTTGGTTTTCTTCTAACATCCTCCATTTACAGAGGATTTCCCCCTTCCTCTATCTTTCCCCCTTGCCAGTCCGTTGCAGGAGCCGGCGCCCGTGTTGACTGCCCAGCAGGAGCGGTGCATCAGCAGGGCCATCATGCAGAAGTTCAACTTCCGCGCGCTGACGCCGGAGGAACAAAGAGATCTTTGGCAGGAGATCCAGCGAAAGCTTCAGCAGGATCAGCCGCCGGGACCCTTTCGGAGTAAGCAAATTGTGTGAAAAAAAATACCCGTACCCTCTTGTAAACTAACATAGCTATTGAAAAGTGCCGTGCAAGTGCCATGTATAGTCGAATTGCCTATTAAAAATGGTGACCTTCCATAGTTATGTTAGTTTACTGGAGGGTAATTCATAGATATACACATGCACATCTACATTGTAGTTATGTAGTTTAAATACATATTTATACATGTATAGTTTGTTTTCGATGAATGATTTGTCGGCTCTTATTTTTATTTACATGCATGCCGATGCATGCCATGAGTTTCACATCGTGTTTTCACCACGGACGAGGCTGGAGAGCCCAACGACCATCCGCGACGACATGTTCCGCGACCTCCGACGGGCCGTGCAAATTTCAGCAGCGCTGCGGTTCTCGCATCGCTGTAAGGCGAAATCGGAGATTATGAAGGAGCGCCTGGTTTTTCTTTTGGTGAGATTTCTGGTGGATGTGTGGTCGATGTGTGGTGGATGTGCGGTCGATATGTGATAGATTTGTGGTTGATTTATGGTGGATTTGTGGTGTATTTATGGTGATTTAAAGGGTTTACCTTGTACCTTTTTTGGAAGATTTATTTGTTGGTGCAAATTATCAGGGTTGTTCCAAACACTCCAGGCTCCAGGTACTATTGGGATGCATTTTTTTAGCAAATATAGAGATGAAATAACACATTTAACCAAACAGTTGCTACCATTTACTTATTATGAGTTGGAGCAACCCTGTTTACGGTAGAATTATGGGGATTTGTTTGCTGATTTATAGATATTTACAGATTTAATGGGTTTACCGTACTTTTTTTGAACAGTTGTTTGATGTGGAAACTTTAGATCGCTAAGCTGGTTGGGCCTATGGTAATTATACCTATAGTGATTGGGGTTTATAAACCAACAAACATCACTGGGGGAGGGCGCCCCCTCTCTGAGATTTATGCGGCCTTTATGGCGATTTATGATGAATGTCTGGTATTTACGTATTTGTTGCATGGATTTATGGGGCTTACTTGGGGATGAGCATGTGCATTTTCGTGGGTTGGCCTTTTTTGGTGAGGTTTATGGCGATTTATGCTGGTTCCATGAGTTCAAAAAAGATTTGGCTGACGTTAGAATGGCGAGTTCATCGATAAAACGAGTTCAAAAAAAGGGGATGAATGGACAGAGAATCCCAGAAGCTTGCTCAATGGATTGGTTGAACGGAAAATCTGCATGAACTCCCTGAAAAGCCCCCCATTAGAGGTTTCCTGTATCTTTTCCCTTCACAGGTGGCTGGCCACAGCAGAAAAACATCGAAAAACGGTCAGTCCGGGAATCCTCAAAACTTCCCGGCAAGTTCCATCTTGGTTTTCATCTCTTTCTGGGTCCCACTTTGGTGCGGTTCTAGTTATTCACTGGATATACATCGTTTTTTACGGGCCCCATACCCCAACTTCTGGTGGTTTTTTGTAAGCCCTGGTTATAGCCATGAATTGGAAGGTTAAAACCGAAGTTTCCAAATGGGAGGCTAAAATCATCTAAAATCCAATCATATACCCTATTGATCCTATTGTTTATTGGTTAAAATTGCTTCAAATTGCTTAAATCGCTACGTTTGTCACCGCTGCCAGCCTTGATCCACCAGGAACGACAAGCAGCTGAAGCCTCGGACGTGTTGCTGCTGCCGCAGTTGTCACAACGGCTGTCTGTGCCACCCACGTCACTGTTGAAGGTGATGATGAAACCCGGAGATTTGTCGCTTGGTTAATGAACAATTAGCAGGACCTGCATCAAGAATTGCAGGTTTCAATGATTTTCTCCTTTTTTGATGTTTCTATTGATATGTGACATGTGCGGTTGAGGGATGGCTGCTGCCTTTGCAAAAATAACAATAACAATAATAATATTACAGTATATATATATATACACATATACATACTATAATTCGATGTAGGCATATAGCTGAAGTTGCTGTATCACTCAACGGGCAGATATCTCGAACGTTCCGTTCCCTTCCGTTCACAGCGCTTCACTGCCAGGCCCAAGCAGCCGGTGAAGATCTTCCGAGATTTGGAGGGCCAGAGCTTCTCCACCACAGAGGAGCTTCGGAAGATCTTCGCGAAGACCTCGAAGGTGCCGGTTGAAGATAGAGCCAATGTTAGGTGCAAATAACTTAGGGTGAATTGCTGTCGTTGTTTTAAAGTTTTTTTGGGGGGAGATGTGAATATAAATGAATATAACATATAACTATAGTTCATGGGGTTATAATGATGATAATGTAAGATCCCATCTATGGCTTATAGTTATGGTTATTTACCACTTTATGGAGGACCAGCTCGTAGGAGCCACTACTTCAATGGCAATTTAACCAGCAAAAAAAATGGATTTAGCCATCCAAAAATGGAGATTGGCTGTTGATGTGTCATGGCTATATATATATATATAAGCTAGTTTATAACTATAGGCTAGCAAATGGATTCATGGTATATAGATATATCTTTATTTTACGTAGATATACACCAAGAAAATTATTGACCAATATAATATTCAATATTGCGGGTTTGGGATAATAAATTCAAACTTTGAATATATAAAAACCAAAGGTATGTGAACAGGTACGTGAGTCCTCCCGCTTTTAAGTTAGAAACCCATTAACTATAGGTATATCTACCATAAACCAGAGATGGGGGATGGTTTGCTGGCAAGATTTTACCCTCATTTAACATAGCTATTGAAAATGGCCCAGTCGAAATAGTGGATGTTCCCATTTTCATAGCATGGCCATTTTCCATGGTTTTTTCTTAATGTTTGCCAGGCCGGGTAATACATCAATCAACTTCGCGATTCCGGACGGGTTGATCTCATGGGACCGGAAGTCGGGGTCACCGGGTCACCGCCAGGCGGTCAATGTGTGGTTTCTGCGCGAATTGCTCTGGGCCTTTGAAAATGACCTCGAAGCCTTGCAGGTGGCCAGTGAAACTTGGCGGGCCGGAAGGGGATTCTACTTGGCGGCTCATCCACCGAATCGTGGGATATAACCCCAGTGATTTACATGGGATGTTTGTAGGGTTAATCCACTTATAATTGGGGTGAACTAACCCACTTACGATTCGTGAGATGAGCCTAGGAAAATGATCTGTGTTTGTCCTGGTGAAAAGCGCATCGATGTTAGTTGACAGGAGTGGTTAATAGTGGTTAATGGTGGTTAATAGTGGGTGATGTATTGATATATATCTGGGTAAATTTCATCACGACCGAACCCTGTTCTCCCTCACTGGAATCATGGTTAGTAAGGGAAATCATCTTCAAATGGCCCAACTATTCAGGTTAGTGAAATATTATCATTTACCCAGATATATGAGGATTGTATTGTCGCATTTTTCATATAGGATTTTAATGAGGTTATAATGAGAGCACAATGGGGGTAAAATATGGGAAAACCAATCATTGGTTTCTCGCACATATTCCTTGGGGAATCAGCGACATGAAACCAACAACCCCAGGATTTTTATTGTTTAGGTCACCTACCCCGGCTCAAAACTGCAGAAGGCAAAGATTGCCCCACCGAAATTCCCAGCCAGATTGGAAATTCCCAACCAAAGCCAAGATGGCCAATCAAAAATGATGTGTTTTCTGCGAAACAGAATTTCCCACACCTCAAGATCGTCCATGAGCGTTCCAAAAATATTTTCCCATCCACAAATTGGAATGTCCAAGGAAATCATGTTTGTTCTTCATCCAAATCTGGGTCAATCTTAGATGAGTAGTTTAATCCTTTAGTCTTTTGGCATCAATGGGATTATCTACGTTCACCAGCTAAGAGTTCATTTTTTGCAGGGTATTTAAGGTTGCCCATGTTTTTTTTGTGTTTGGCCTACTTGGTGGCTCATCCCACGAATCGTAAGTGGGATGTAACCCCAGTGATTTACATGGGATAAGTAGGGTTAATCCACTTATAATTGGGTTATAGCGCCTCAGGAAGTGTCATCCCAAGCCTTCGAAGATGCGGTGTTCCACTTCTGCGGCTCCGCTGGCGTCCCCATGCAACGCGAAGCCGATCTCCGCGAGGATTCGCAGGGCGTCACACCAGACGTGTTGTTCGAAGCGCCCGTGAGATTCGTCACGGCCACAGAGGAGATGGAATTCAAATGGTTGGAGTGTAACTGTGACCCCTTTTCGGCATGTTTACCCTCCGGTAATTTAACATAGCTATTGAAATGGCCCAGTCAAATTAGTTGATTTACCCTAGTGATTTTCCATAGTCTTTTGTATGTTTACCAGGAGGTAAATGACATTTTGTTGTTTCTTTCCGTAAAATGAATGTGACATCAGCAACGGAATAAGCTATGAGTATCATACAGTATGACTATTTGGCTGGTCATTTTGACCTGATTTCTTTGATTCCATCCAATCCAAAGCGGGCGGTTCGAACCGGAAGACATACGATCCAAGGGGATGATGCAGGTAGACAAACCCATATCCCATGAGAACATGCCGTTGTTATCCCAGTTTTTTTGGAGCCATTTTCATGTGGGTAAAACAATGTCATAAATGAACTAGCCATGACTGGAAATGGTAACCATACCACATATATAAAAATGGTGATAACCAATAGGGGATGGTTCATGATTTTTTGTTTTACCCACATGCCATGTTTTTTTTGGGTTGATGATGGTTGATGGAACTCCGCCAGGTAAGAATTTCCATGCTGGATCTGAAAGCGGCATTGTTTTGAAGGGTCTGCAGAAAATTGGATGAAAACTTGCAGCCTTTTTGGGATGATGTGCCTGACATACCCTCCAATCAAACATGGCTAGCTGGGAAACCCGAGGACAATATGGGAAAACTGGTATTTTTATGGAGGATTGGCCATGGAAAATTCTGTGTGGGTGATTTCAACCATGGCCATGTTTGATTGCTGAGTTGTGTTTCCACGAAATGTTGTCATTTTTTGAGGTTGTCATAAATGATGGATAGGATTGTGTAAATCAATTCGAAATTCTTATTATTTATATAACTGAGTTGGGGATTGTAAATCAAATCATTTTATGGTTGTCGAAGCATTGCTAGCATGCTAATGTCAAGTTTTATCAGCACTATTTCTGAAATTACTGTTGAACTCCAGTATTCCAGATACCTCCTAGAAACATTGGTTTAGTATCGGATCTATTCCTTTTGGGGGGCCCATAGGGGCGGTATGTGATATTGATTTTGAAAATTGTTAAATCTATATCAGTGATATATGTATATATACATATATAGTTACATCAAGTTATATCCCAATTTAGGTCCTTATAAGTCACCATGGTTAGTTACACCCATCAAATTTTAACTGCACCAATGGAACCCCAGCGGAACCTCAGGAAACAAGTGAAGCGTTACACAACAGCCTTGGGTCCAGGGGCTGTGGTTTTCGCTGGCGGAGCTTCCGAAAAAGTTCGAAGTGCATTGAAACGGCTGGGAGTGGCAGCATTGGATGGATCAAAGCTGACCACTGATGGGTGGCTGATTTATCTTATTTCAGAGTTTTTTACTGTTGTTTTGGGTGTTCAAAACCAATATAAATAGGAAGTTCCTATTGATTCCTGATGGGTCACTTTCGCTGATTTCAGATGATTTGTTTGAGTTCGCAGCTTTCTTCTTGGATGAAACCTTGAGGTTTCCCCGACGACTAATGTGGAGGTTTGCTAACATAGAGGTACCCCTATAAAAATGAATGGTTTATTTCATGGAAAATCCATCTATAAATGGATGATAACTGAGTGTGCCCCCATCTTAGAAAACCTTCATGTCATGTCAGCTCTTTCCTATGTCCTATGACATCACTTTCCCTTGAACCCTCGACTTTTTTTCATCTCTTTTCTTGAACGCTCTTTTTTGTCAGCGTATCTGAGTCCGATTTTGGTTTTGTCCATCGGTCCATCGTATGTTCTCTCTTGACATCCCTTTCTCTCAGCATCTCTTTGTCAGCTCATCGCTGTCTCGTTACATCTCTTTTCTCTCTTCACATCGGTGTTTCTTTCTGCTTGGTGGCACATCCCACTTAGTAAGTGGGATATAACCCCAGTTATAAATGGGATAAGTAGGCTTAATCCACTTATAATTGGGGTTATAACCCACTTACCAAGTGAGATGAGCCATCAAGTGCTGTTTTCAAAAGCTTTTTTTTCTACACGAGTCTCCTGGAGCCGTTCTTCTTTTCTTGTGCATTCTACCCTCTGGTTATGACGATTACAGTTCGCCATGGTATAGATAGATGGCCCTAATCAAAATAGATGGTTTACAGAACTTAATAGCATGGGTGGATTTTCCATGGCGCCATGTTAAATAACCAGAGGGTACTTCATTCTGCTTCTATCAACTCCCCACTTCACCCACGGATTCGTCCCAAACTCCCTGTGATACTGACTGTGGAATTATAAGAATCTCATAGCCACAGACTGAGGTATGAAAAAAAGATATTTTTATCATTTTTTATCCCAAGATCTTCAAACAAAACATCATATAAATCATCCTCTCTTTTATCATCTGAAATAGTTATCTTTTTGATTATCTTTTGTTTCTTCGTCTAACCAGCCTCTCTTTTAACATTTGACAGGGTTATTTTGTTGATTTTTTTCTTTGTATGGATTGTCAAAGGTTTTTATCCTCTGTGTTTCTATCACGTCGTCTTTTCTTTTCTTGACTTTCTTTGCTACTGCACTTCCTCTCCTGTCTTCTCCACTTGATCTTACCCTTTAAGTGTCGTTTCTTTGATGTGGGCTATATATACGTATAGATATATTTTATATTTATATATATATATCATAATGAAATCGATTAAACCATATCAAACCATCAACTGGCTTTATTTGCCTGCGCTTACTGTCCCAGGTTATGGATGGCTGTAGAGGAGTGTCAATTTGGGGATCGCTCGACGCAAAGTAGCTATGCGTTTTGTTTTTGTGTTTGTCCCCTTGCTAAAACTTAATTTGTCTTAATTTACTGCAAAGTTTTCATTGTTTTCATTTGGTTTTCAAACAGTTCATTGATGTATCCATTGTTTTTGCTTATTTGTTTATATTGGCGCCCCGCAGAGAAGTTTCCAATCACAAAAAGAATCATATTTTAAATCATCGTAGAAATCATTATTTTCTCCACATTTCCAGTGGCTTGCCACTTTTTCAATCCTTTTGAAGCATTTTTAAGGAAAACGAAGGGAACATCCCAAAAACGATGATTTAAACGATGATTCAAACGATAAAAAAATGATAATTTCCCGCAGTTTTATCATTTTTTTATCGTTTGAAAGCTGTCCCAAAATCATCGAAAAATCATCGTCGAAATCATCATTTTCTCATTTTGGAGCATTTTTGAGGAAAACGAAGGGAACATCCCAAGAACGATGATATAAACGATGATTCAAACGATAAAAAAATGATAATTTCCCGCAGTTTTATCATTTTTTTATCGTTTGAAAGCTGTCCCAAAATCATCGAAAAATCATCGTCGAAATCATCATTTTCTTCATTTGGAGCATTTTTGAGGAAAACGAAGGGAACATCCCAAGAACGATGATATAAACGATGATTCAAACGATAAAAAAATGATAATTTCCCGCAGTTTTATCATTTTTTTATCGTTTGAAAGCTGTCCCAAAATCATCGAAAAATCATCGTCGAAATCATCATTTTCTCCATTTTGGAGCATTTTTGAGGAAAACGAAGGGAACATCCCAAGAACGATGATTTAAACGATGATTCAAACGATAAAAAAATGATAATTTCCCGCAGTTTTATCATTTTTTTATCGTTTGAAAGCTGTCCCAAAATCATCGAAAAATTATCGTCGAAATCATCATTTTCTCCATTTTGGAGCATTTTTGAGGAAAACGAAGGGAACATCCCAAGAACGATGATTTAAACGATGATTCAAACGATAAAAAAATGATAATTCCCCGCAGTTTTATCATTTTTTTATCGTTTGAAAGCTGTCCCTAAATCATCGAAAAATCATCGTCAAAATCATCATTTTCTTCATTTTGGAGCATTTTTGAAGAAAACGAAGGGAAAATCCCAAGAACGATGATATAAACGATGATTCAAACGATAAAAAAATGATAATTTCCCGCAGTTTTATCATTTTTTTATCGTTTGAAAGCTGTCCCAAAATCATCGAAAAATCATCGTCGAAATCATCATTTTCTCCATTTTGGAGCATTTTTGGGGAAAACGAAGGGAACATCCCAAGAACGATGATATAAACGATGATTCAAACGATAAAAAAATGATAATTTCCCGCAGTTTTATCATTTTTTTTCGTTTGAAAGCTGTCCCAAAATCATCGAAAAATCATCGTCGAAATCATCGTGGAAATCATCATGTTTTCAACGATTCCCAGGACTGCTACCCAAAATCATCGTAGAAAGCATCATTTTTCAGCATGTCCCAGAAAAGTCACCCGGAATCATCCTAGAAATCATCATTTTCTCAACATGTCCCAGAAAGGCTACCCAAAATCATCCTAGATACCACCCTAATCCTACAAATGTCCACAAATCACCCTAGCTAATCAAAAAGTCAGCCATCCATGTGGCTTGAATCCTTTTGGAACATGGGTTTATGAGTTTATCGGATACTCTCCGCTGGAATTGGCGGGGCATGATGTGACATAGATTCGATATTGTCGCTAAGTTTACTCAAATGACATAGAGATTAAACTAGCTTCTTTGGACCAAGATGACATCGAGATTAAGACCCGCGACTTATAGGAGAGCAAACAGAAACCGTTGGCAAAAAACAATGACAAATCCCAGGATGGATTCAGGAAGGTTACTATGTTAAATGTAGGCTTGCAAAAAAAAAACTTCGAATAGATTAGGTTTGATTAGACCTCGCTGTAGATGTTTTGATGGACTGTCTATCTATGCCATGCCTTTACGTATCCCTGGTTTCCTGGGGTCGGCGGCAGGGGCAACAACCCTGGAAGAAATCCTAGGACGGATTCTAGGATGAATTTAGGATGGCAAACAGTAGAGGATAAATCCCAGGATAAATCCAAAGATGAAGTTAGGAATCCAAAACGCAGGTGATAAATCCCAGGATAAATCCAATGATGAATTTAGGAAGGCAAAAAACAGAGGATAAATCCCAGGATAAATCAAACGATGAATATAGGAAGGTTCCAACGACAAAATATCTTTTTTGGGTTTTCCATTCCCTGGCTGACTAAGATTCTTATAACTGTGGAAATCACGGATTGGTTGACCACCCATGTGGAATCGTTGATGAAATATTGTCTAACACATTTTGTAACCCCCATCGTTTTCATTGTTACATGTGTTTTTTTCTTCGGTCATGTGACTCCATTTTAGTTTTTTTGGCTGATGAGTGATGGTTCAGATATTCGTCGATTTTCGCTGAAAATGCGAAGAAAGCCACATTCGCAACTGCAGATGCGACTATTTGGCTTCTGTGTTTGCTAGTTGCTTCCCTATGGTTTCCGATAAAATCAATGGAATCTTGGGCTTTCCTTCCCATTTTCCAAAACAAATGCTGCATTTTCCATCCGCAAAAAGGGGATGCCCATCCCATGGACGAGTTTCGAAAACCAGGTCAAAAGGTGCAGCACCTTCATTCATCAGCGGGCCCAGGGCCGAGTTCTGGAAACTGGATCTATCCAAACCCAGGTCCCGGTCACCAAAGTCACCAAAGTCGCCACGACCCCGAAACAGTCGAAGGAGGAAGGCAAAAAGAAAGAAAGACGGCGCACAGAATGAAGAAACCCGGCTTTGTTGAAGGTGATTTGTTTCATTTTCCCAATATCCAATGGGAAATCCACTTAGGGTTTTTTTTTGCGGAATCGTTTTTTTGTGTTTTTTTGTTTTCGGGGTGCTCCGGATCAGCAAATCTAAGGAAACACATGGAAACAAGAAAACAGCCATGTCAAGCCATGCTGATTCTTGATTTCTGTTGATTTGGGACAGACATCGGCCAAAGTGCCGTTTGAACGACCGTTCTGGCTCTGCCAGAAGCCCCTCGAGCTGCGCTGCCATCGTGCGGCATCGCGATTTACATAGCAGCGCAGTGAAGTTCGATGTTGGAACTGAAAGGGAATTGGATGGATTTCTCTGCGATTTACATTACTGGTTGGTGGTTTGGAACATGAATTATATTGTTCCATTCGGTTGGAGAATTTCACCACCCCAACTGACTCATATTTTTCAGAGGGGTAGGTATACCACCAACCAGTCATTAATATATGGTGAATGTAAGAATGGTGTTCATAATGGTTTTCATGATGGGTTAACAATATTAACATTAACAATATTAACATGCAACACCAACGACAGTTTCGCCAAGCTGGATGAACTACAACAACCTGCGACATCACTGGAATGATAGGTTGGATTCGGGAAATCATCCCCAAATGGCCCGGGCAGGGCATGGGCCGGGAAAGGGAAGATGGGTAGCCGAACTTGTCAGGTGTGTGACATATTATGTATAATATACATATTTGCCCACAATATTGTAACATGGTCTTTCATCTGTCGTTTCTCTTTGGGGTTTTAGCAGCCGCTGGAGCTATTTGTTCATTGCACCCTTGCCGGTTGAGCTCAGTTGACAGCAGGTGGATGGTGGGTGACAATGTGATAATGTCTGAAGGATCTTCACAGAGATCATTCAAGTTATCCTGTTAAATCACCATTAAATCCCATTAAATCCAATCGAATCACCATTAGATCACCATTAAATCACCACTGCGTCCCTGTTAAATCACCATTAAACCACCAAATTAAAGCATACATGTACGCATTTTTTCAAAGCTATCAAGGGTTGCCCAACCCCCCTCCCCCAGGGTCCCCCAGTTCCGCCCCATTTCTGCCAAGCCATTGGTGCGCCACAACATGATGAGTCCGGCAATAAACCCATGTCATCAGAAGTTATCGTATATAACTTTTTCATAACTATTTCGTGTGAATCATGTTAGTTATCTCTTTTCATGATAAGTCCACCAATAAACTATGTAATCCACTCACTGCCAAAAAATAGAAAAGATATAACCAACTATTTCAGTGGGACTAACTAGCAACTGCTATCTTTTTTTGGTGGTTATATACATTGAATGATACTATCATTGGGAGAAAAAAAATGTCCAATTTTCAACAGCAAAAGCATCGGCCGCCCGTCCATAGAGGACACGAATGAACCTGCCACCCCTGCCGCAACGCTTGCTGTGAGGCCTGTGGCGTTCGAAACCATGGCTTTTTCTTTGACCATGGACACATTGCATGGCTTAATCTGGATGGTTTAGTTAATCAGATTTCATAAGGTTTTGTTTTTACCATCAATCAACAAACGGGATTTTATGATATTTCAATATATGTCATGGATTTCATAGGAATATGAAGGTATATGTTTTTTCTCAATTTGATCATGACCTCACGTCGTTTGCCGTCACTGGAATGATTTTGTTCATGCAAAAGCAATCTTTGCAAATATGTGGGTGTTTTCAATTAAGTTGCATCGATATAGATCAAAAACACTAACCATCGGTGTTCACCTCAAACTAGCTAAGGATGATGGATGTTCCTTCAAAAACTATCATAACCCGTACCACCCAATATCCCATATACCCCATGGTGGCCATGTATGGTATAGTTACCTACATTTGGGTGATGTTTCGGGCAAATGTTGCTACATATTCCAGCACCATGGAGCATATGGGTATTAAATACATGAATACCCCCTTGAACCGAACAACCACAGTTTAGTATTGGATCTATGGATTTTTCGGGGGCCGGGCCGGCTGGCCATATTCGAAAAAAAGGAGGATGAGATTAGTTTTGGTAGATGCTGTTGAGTTCAAGAACTAACATCGATTCATAGTACCCTCTGGTAATTTAACATAACTATCTAATAACTATGGAAAATCACCATGTCTTGCTAGGTAAATCATCTATAAATGGCCCATGTTCAATAGCAAACTGTTAAATGACCCTTGTCTTTACCCCGGCTCTTGCAAGGCGTTTTTCGGCCGCATTTGAAGACTGACCCTGTGGAGTGTCTGAAAATGGGGCCCCGGGGCCAAAATGCCCACTGGAATTGGGAAAATGATGGTTAATTAAGCATCAGATATTGGGGCAACATGCTGGAATATATGATTATCATTGTTTTCTTAATCATCATGACTAATTCCAGCGGGCATAATCATCATTCTTGGCATCCTATCTGATGATATTGGGGCAACATATTTTCAGACCAACCCACTTGTTACACTTTTCTTCTGCGGCAATAATGCCGCGGAACTGATCTACAGCTGCTCGAGGATTGCCGTTTTTATGTGTTGATTTGGATGCTGCAATCGTACAACATCGTACAACGTTGACATCAAACTACCAAAAAGAGAACATGGGAACAGTACAGACGAATTGTTGCAAACCATTGCTCCTTAATACACTGAACGGTGAGTCCTCTCTGGCTGCTAAGCAGCTTCTGAGTGCCGGTGGAGAACTATGGTCCGAACATGTCGGAAGTGAGTTGTAAATGGGATGAGGGTCATTGACCACTTCCTGACTGCAATCTTTTTCGGAGGGGGAATATGGGGGGAAAGCTTTATTTCAAGCCAATGTGCTGTGCTGTGCTGCCACTCAAAACTGCGGCCGGTGTTTGGCTCAAGGATCCAGCGTAAGCGGATCCAGAACCAAATCTTTACAACTCATCCGTGGTGGCGAAAGCATGGCGCCTTCAAATGTAGAGGCGCGCAAAATACGAAATGCTGGGTGGGATATGGTGGGATGTTCCAAATGTTTGGCTGTTGCTACTTTGACCTCTCAAAATCGGTTGTTCAGCCTATCATTCTTCCCCAGGTGCCTCAACTCGACATTTCTGATGGTAACTCCCTCGTTTTTTCATCGGTCAAACCCTTCCGACTGTCTTGGTACCCATTGGTAAACTAACATAACTATGGAAAATCACCATTTTTAATGGGAAAATCCACTATAAATGGCCATTTTCAATGGCTTTTTGTATGTTTACCGGAGGGTAGCCCCAGCGTCCAGGCCGGGCAAGCGGTCAACGAAGTCAACGAGGACCCGGATGCAGAGAAACCCTTACTCCGAGGTCCAGACTCAGACTGGACCATCAAGGCGTGGACCCTGGCGAGGCACTTTTTGGGCTAGAAGGCTAACGTGAGAAAATCAATGGGTGGTATAAATAAACCATCAAAATATGGCTGGATTATTATTGCTATACTCGCAGTTCTGTTTAATATCATAGTGTATACTTAATATTTGCTGCATCGATGTTCAATTCATAATTTGAGGGTGTCCAGAAATGCGGCTTACCCAATGCAAAACATTGCGTTTTGAAGCTATGTACCACCGTATAGGCATCCTTTGGCCAACCAACTGGGATTGGGATGACAGCTCGCGAAGCATTTTTCAGTGGTTGAACCGGATCTGGTTTTTTCGAGTCCACCATGGTGTTGAACACCAGTGGGTGGTCCCCACCATGGTGACCCCACCAACTTCCAAGAGGAATCCAAAATGACCGGATCCACCGAACCGCAGGTCCTCAGGCTGAAACTGCGGGGTTTTAGTAGATTAGTTGGGGAGCAGATTAGTTGGGGATAAATGTTCTACAAACTTGTGGACACACACAAGACTATCCGATAGAAATGGATGTGTTTTTTTCTAGGTTCGAGTAGAGAACCACTGATGAGGTTATTCCTATTCCCAATACCATTTTGATCCATTTTGTATATCAAAGCATAGTTGGATGTGAACACCATGATTACCTGTGATGTATGAACCACTAAGGAAAAACATAAGTCATCACTTTTTTAAAGAATTAAGTCCCAGAACCAATCACAAACACATTCTACCCTCTAGTATTTAAACATGGCTTGCTGGAAAACCAGCCATTTGCTTCGAGGACGTTCCATGATTCCCCATATTTCCCCATTGAAATATCCATTTTTTTCGTGGCTTTCCCAGCGGCGCTGCTGACACCGGCCATGGCGGCCAAGGCCTTTTGGAGTGTAGCAGTGATCGTGGTCTCTGCTGCTCTGATCAACTACAACAAGTACCTGATGAACCCATCCAGGCACAGCACGGCCCGGGCACTGCGGTGTCGCGGTAAGTGAGTGTGTTTTAAACGTTTTAGGGGTTTTGTTTTGGTTGCTGCTGTGTGGTTTTTTGATTGGCAATCTTTGGCAAATTCCCATTGTTTGATGTGGAGATTCTCGAATCCGTGGACTGAAACGCAAAGCAGAATTGCTGGCCTTTCTGCGGAATGATGTGAGAATGTGAGGTTTCCGTATCCCATGGTGCTGCTTGGCGAAGGATTTCAGTTGTGGCCTCAACTGCTTGGTGGTTCCATTGTTTGAGGATCCAAGTTGGTTCATATTAATGTGGCAAAACCAGTAATAAACAGGCAATGAATCACCCCATTAGCCAATCGTTTTTGGGATTATTTTACATCACTTCAGTCATAGGGGGTATACCCAATAACGAACCTTTACCCTCTGGTAATTTGTTACAGTTTGCTATTGAAAATGGCCATAGAAATAGTTGATTTTCCCATTGATAGCATGGTGATTTTCCATAGTTTTTTGTATGTTTACCAGGGGGTATCAGGGATAGATGATGTATGGATTTATCACATCTGAGATGTTCTGGGGTGGATTGAGAATATTGAGACGAGCAGTTTTGACTGATACTGCCACGACATCCTCTGCAATTTTGGATGACTCTATATATTTTTCCTGTTTTGATGGTGGTAAATCCCAAATGTTGGTTGGAAAATAGCAATTGTTATAGGCAAGCGTCTTAAAGCACAGTTTGCTTTCGCATTTTGGATGGTGATCTTCCAATGTTCGTTAAAACAGTAAAACCTACCCTGGGTGTTGCTGGGTTAAGTCCACCAAGAAATAATAGCACTTGCTCAACCGCTGGCCATCAAACCACTGCAGTAAATCCCGGCCCCGAACTTCCCCAAGAAACTTCCCCTTTCGATCGAGATCCGAATGGCGGGTTGCAGCCCCGATGGTGAAGATTCCGAAGATTCCCCAAAAAAATATCCCAGTATATCCCTCATATTCCCTTATTCTTGATGGTATACTTCGAAGTTTCTGGTGATTTCTCAACATTTCGAACGACGTGTTTTTTTGGGCTGATTGAAACCCCACGATCCGTTCCCCAGTTCCCCAGTTAGTTTGCCGATTCCCATGCGGAAAAAACCATGTTTTTTTCTGACGCCGCAGGGTAAATATACATAACATACTTGGTGGCTCATCCCACTTAGTAAGTGGGATATAACCCTAGTTATAAATGGGATAAGTAGGGTTAATCCACTTATATAATTGGGGTGATAACCCACTTACTAAGTGAGATGAGCCATCAAGTACACATTTTTTTATCACATAATCACATAATCTCACATATAATCACATTATTCATATATGTAGTGTGGATAAAACAATGTCATAAACCACCTGTTTGGGAATGGTAGACATACCCCCTATTTATGGTGATGACTGGGGGATGGTTTATGATTGTTTTACCCACATTAGACTTTCTAGTTTTTTCAGATATGTAAAACCTATCATGACCTATCCAATATATGGATATAATAAACCATGATTTCCCATGCTATCCCTCGATGCTTTCCCATGAGGCTTGTCTCCTTGCACATGTTCTGCGGCTCAATGCTGAGCAGTGGGCTGTACTTGGTGATGCCCAGTCTCTTTCCTGCCCTGACGGATCCAGACAAGAAGGCCGGGTCGCGAGCCAGTCATTTCCATCCGTAAAAAAAAATGGAGAATTTGGGGGGGTTCAATTAAGAAGTTATAGGGATGTCGTGGTATTTAATGGGAATTTAAGACACCATACAGGTTTTTTTGGTAGCGAAATGGGGGGTTTCCTTATGTTTCTGGGATCCCTCAAAACGCCATGGTTGGTTCTCCATATGTTTCAATACTAAATCATGGTCTGACTAAGTCATGACTTGCGAGTCGAATGCATTGGGTTCATAATCCCCATTGAACCCCATGGCTGGATGAACTTTTCAGCGCTCTCCAGGTGAGTGAATTATTCTAGTTCAGCTACTTATTCTGGTTGGTGGTGACTGGAACCATGGAATTTTGAATGACTTTCCAGAAACAGTTGGGAATGTCAGAAAATCCCAACTGGCGAAGTCATATGTTTCAGAGGGGTGGGTTGAAACCACCAACCAGTATCAGTGTTCTAGAAGATGTTGAAATAAAGGATGAGAGAGATATGCCATATATGCTTCACGATTTCTTGTTTTCAGATTTATTGAACCATCGGATATATGGGGATATAACAGCTATAGAAAAGATAAACGATGATCCCCCAAAAGGCGATTTTTTGTGGCAGTGTGATCTGTGAAACCACCAACGGGTTGGATGTTTTTGCGTACCTATGCGTTGTAGACAATGGTAGATGTAGAAATATCATGAAATATCATTAAATATGGAGATAGCTAGAGATACTTGATATATGTATCTGCATATGCATGTGTATTAAAGATATTGTTTTCAAACATAACTATGGATTATACTCCATGGTTTTCAAGCTCTCCCTTACGGCCCTGATGCCAGGTCGCAGTGAACGCGACCTTCCTGTTACAACGAGTGCTTCCTGTAGGCGTTGCTTTCGCAACATCTTTGATTTGCAGCAATGTGGCTTATGAGTACGTTCCTGGACCAAAATTCCAATAAGTTCTCCGCTTCATGCATGATAAATGTAATGGTTAATAGTGGTCACTAATGGTTACTAATGGTTGATATCATTAACCATTATCAACCATTATCAACTCAACTTGATGCAGCTCTACCCTCTGCTAATTTGACAGTTTGCTATTGAACATGGCCCATTGATAAATGATGTTGCCAGTAAAATTTATTGACATTGGGATTTTCCATAGCTATGTTAGTTTACCAGAGGGTAAACTTCATCATCTCAACTTTTGGGGTTGGATTTCAGCAGGTACAAGTGGATTTCAGCATACATCACGACATTTTTGTTGCAATGTTTAGGTATATTTTTCGGTCTTTGGTGACCATGTTTTCGGTCCGAAAATTATCTAGACCAAAAAAAATGCCATGATCTGAGGCCAGCGTGCCATTCCTCCAGATGGTGAAACAAAGCAATGTGATTATTGTCTTCCTCCTCTCGCTTCTCATTGGCCTAGAAAAGCGCCTTGGCCAAAGCCGGGTGCCTTTTTTCAGCACTTGGGATGCCCAATGGGGATTCCGAGCCCGGTAACTTTGAAACACTGAAAAATGCCGGGAGGTTCAATTGGATGATGGGATAAACATGGATCAACCACCTAAAAAGTGCCAAAGTTTGACTTGAAATTTTCTGATGTTCCCTTGTTTTGATGGTTAAAGGTGGCCATTTTTGCTACTTCACATCCCCTTTGTGTTGCGAAGACGCTGCATCAGTTAAGCGTCTTACAATCGTTGCACCACTGTGCTTGGAAGGTGGTGCGCCGTAGTTATGTTGTGTTGTAACCCCCATCTACCCTCTGGTAAACATACAAAAAGCTATTGAAAATGGCCATTTATAGTGGATTTTCCCATTCAAAATGGTGGTTTTCCATAGTTATGTTAGTTTACCGAAGGGTAATCATAATTAAAGAACACCATGAAGCCATGGTTAAAAATGAGCAGATGACTCATAACACCAAGTAAATAACCCATTAAAACCTAGTTAATCTAGTTCTTTGCGCCAACTTAGTTTTTGTTGGTTCACTGGTGCACCACCGTAATATTTTATGTTTCCTAGTTACTTGGGAAGATAAGCCTGCTTACTGGGTCAGTTTTTCTGAGATACTAACTAGAACTTTGATCTTTTGCTATGAACCAGCTATATTTTTTTTTCATTTTTGGACAGCTATCCAAGATTCAATGGATTGGTTTAAGGGAAAATCTACAGGAAACCATCGATTTTCCGATTAAATATGGGGCTTAAACCAGTAAATTTTCCCTTAATCCAATCCATTGAGCTATCCAAGATACACCATGCAAAAAAGCCTCCAAGAATTCAGGTTCCGCAGCAACATGGCCATCGTTTTGCTCTGCATCGTGATCGCCACGGGCTTCACCGTGAACGGCGAGCTGCGCTTCTCCCTCCCAGGGTGACCTGTGCGGGGAGCCAACGGGGCTGGCTCGGGATAGGAATGGCAGATTACGCCAGGAGGGTGGCCTCACTTTACTGGTTAGTAACCATAGTTTTGACTTTATATAAGCCATATATATATATACACAAGTATTTATATATATATAATTGGTGAAACCCCACTCAAGGGACTTACTAACCAGGGCTATGATTTCACCAGTTGATTTTTAATCCGGTCCCAGGGTGAACAGAACACCGGAAACGCGATTCGATTCTTGGTTGATCCTCGAAGTATCCCACAGCCGGTCGTTTGGCGATGTTAATATGGAAAATGACTTACTGGTGCTAAACGTAGGGAATGGATACCCTCTGGTAAACGTTTACATATCTATGGAAAATCACCATGTTTAATGGGAAAACTCACTGTAAATTGCCATTTTCAATAGCCATGTTAGGGAATGGATGGGTTGCTGGGGGTTGCTGGGATGATGACATTACTAGTTACTATGGATCATTCCCGAAAGTTCCCTGCGTAAAACGCACCAGTAAGATGATGGAAATGATGATGAACATGATGTAGTAGTAAATTTAGGAACACCATGGAGCTTCTGGATGTTTTTGTGATTTATAACCTTGATGATCACAAGTATACCAATTGGCTGGCTATCCCGTTTTTTTAAATCTGGCTGGTGGTTTGGAACATGAATTTTATTTTTCCATATATTGGGAATAATCATCCCAACTGACTAATACTTTTCAGAGGGGTTGAAACCACCAACCAGTAATGGATTAGAATGTATCATAGGTTTGGTTGCAACCACGTACGATTCGTGGATGGCAACCCTGCGAGGATAGTGGTCCCCCGATGAAGCACAGCCCCAAAGTTGCAGTTTTACTGCGAGAAAATGATCATGTATAACTGGTTGGTGGTTTGGAACATTTTTCCATATATTGGGAATTTCATCATCCCAACTGACTTTCATATTTTTCAGAGGGGTAGGTTGAAACCACCAACCAGAATATATTGAAAATCACCATCTTTAAGTTCGGTAAATCAACCATTTCTATGTGCAATTTTCAAGTTCGCAAACTGTTAGTCATTACCACCAACCAGACAACAACTAACTAAACCTTTAGATTTTGGGCTACCATGGGCTACCATTAGGATGCACAAACTCATGCTCAGGGATGATGGAGGGGAAACGGTGCAGGAAACCCAAAGCTGTTTTTTTAGCTGTTTATTCAACTGTTAGAATATCTTCAGTGGTGAAACATGGTAAAAACCAGCAAAATCCCCATATTTTCCCTGGTTTCTATCATTTTTTCCAGTAAAATCTCTATGTGTCTATCTTTTTGCCGGATTTGGCCACCATGCCAGCTCCGTTCAGGTTGTTGGCGCAGCTCGCGGGGAACTTTGCGGAATCCTGTCGTGTGGTGATGCAAGGTGGGGCCCTGAATGGGGCCCATTTGTTGGGGCCCTGGCGAATCGATACCCCCTGGTAATTTGTTACATAGCTATTGAGAATGGGGGTTTATAGTTGATTTACCCATTGAAAGTGGTGATGTTCCATAGTTATGTTAGTTTACCAGAGGGTATCAGCTTTGAATTGGGGCTTATAATATGGATATCATTATATCCATTTATCATTATATCCATAATAACTATAGGATTATTCTAGTAAAGCTACTTATCCTGGTTGGTGGTTTGGAACCATGGAATTTTATGACTTTCCATTCAGTTGGGAATGTCGTCATCCCAACTGACTTTTATATTTTTCTGAGGGGTTGAAACCACCAACCAGATTATATCCAAAAAAACAAATCAAAAAAGCAAAAAAAAAAAGCAAAAAAAAAAAGCAAATGGACAAGTCCATATTTTCCAATTTTTTCCCCTTTTTGTCTTTCCTTGTTTTCCCCTTTTTTTTCCTTTTATTTTGCGTTTGTGTTTTTTTGGATTTTGCTGATTTGCTTTTTGGTGTTTCCTTTTTTCTGCTTTTTTCGCGCTTTTTTTCAAGTTTTAAGAAAAGTTAGAATAAGCTATGGTCTGGCTGACATAACTCTAGGATTAATTATACATATATGTGAATATCCCATAGGTATCTAATATAGGACTAATCATTGGATAAAGTATAACGACCTAACTGCGACCTCACTGATGATGGTTAGTAGGGTAACTATCCCAAGATAGCCTTATTTCAGATCAGTGAATTATTACAGTTTGCCCAATATGGCTATCATTATAATATCATATGAGGGGATAATGGATTTGGCGAATGATATGGTATATCCACGGGTATGATATGGTTATAAACCCATATGTTTATTAACCCTATAAATGGCCCAAATCGTAAATAGAAATAGGGAGAAGGGATTACCTGTTTTTTGATTTTACCAACTTCTATCGTCTTGGTGTTCCACAAAGTGTTGAACCCGTTGTTTTAAACACGGACCGATGGCGGTAACGGCCCTTTTCGTTCAACCCTTTGCGGCCGTGAAGGTGTGCTACTGACTGGAGCTGACAAATTGGACCCGCTGTCATTTGTGGCCGTGGTGTCTCCAATTTGTGGTTTCTGCCTAGCAGGACGTTCTGCCATCGCGGATTGGGACATGTGGTTTCTTACTGTAGATGTTTTTACAGTTATCCCAGGGTATCCCAAAGATAGAAACATGGACTGCCGCAGTCTCAGTAGGGATGCACTTTTCTATACTGTTTTTTTGGGGGATAACTATAAATGACTTTGATGGGAAAGCCATGCAATACATCGTTTAGTGCGACTTGTCCATTGCCTAGATGGAGATTGATGGTCATACCCAGGTGCTATTGTTATTTCTATGTTTGATGGCAACACCCTTGTCATATCCTTTGTTTTGGCGTGTACCCCTGCCAGGTTTGATGTTTATATAAATATGCTTGGTTGGTGTTTTTAACACCACCAATTTTGCATCTTCTGTCTAGTTTAATTCTTTAATATCTTCTATTTTCGGGGTATGTAATATATACAATTCATACCCTCTGGTAAACTAACATAGCTATTGAAAATGGCCCATTTATAGTGGATTTACCCATTCAAAATGGTTATTTTCCATGGTTATGTTAGTTTACCAGGGTGTATCTTCAGTTGGATGCCCGTACCCCTGCCAAATCCGCAGGATTGGCTTTTTCCTGGCACCGGGATGACAACTGAAGGGTGTCCATTGTAAGAAGCGACCCAGATTTGCCCCATCATTCCTGACCATTATGAACCATTATGATTACTGTAACCATATTATCAACCACAATTAACCACCATTACTGGTTAATAACCATTGTTATGGTAACAATAACCATATTATTAACCACGTCTTTAACCACAATTAGCAATGATTTACAATTTTAATCAAACCACCATGAAAACCATCCAAAACACATCCCACCTTTTCCACGAGGATTGATGGGTTCCTTCAAATCCTTCAATCATTGGCATCCGGTGGACTTCGCTGCCGTGCCAAGTCTTGAGACCTTGCAGCAGTGTCGCTTTCTCCTCGCTGGTGCGCCGCCGCACAGGGGGCGATCCGGAAAAAGATATGGATTTCCTTAGAAACCCTGGATTTTCCCACTAGTCAATCATTTTCATCATCTTCCATAACCCACATCTTTTGAAGTTGTGCATGTTGGATTTCAGTATTTTTCTTGCCCAGATAACTTTTGACAGTGGTGTCTTGTAAAGTTATCTTAAACCAATCCGCTAAAGGGAAAAGATACAGACCATGGCCATGGAAAAGATACTGCTGCAACGGGTTGCTCACGGGGATTTAATCGGGGGGTTACCCCTTTTCTATACCAACAATCATGGTGATACAATGGTATATATATAAATGTTGGGTGTGAACCAACAATGGTTATATATATATATAGAGAGTGATTGTATGTGTATATATATATATATATTTATTTATTTATATATCCAAGAATGTGATAGTAAGGTGTGTCTGATACACCAATACGGTATGCAACAGTCGTTTTTGATGTCTGATTTTCGAAAAAATGGCGATTAATCAGTGGATAGAATGGGATAGCATGCGGATTTAGGATTTTGAATGTTTTTGACATTAAAAAAAAGTAGGAACCACGCGGATGCAGCAATGGACATCCATTATTTATTTGGTTGGTGGGTTCAAACATTTTTTAGTTTCCCTAATATGTGAAATAATCATGGATAACCCTTCCCATTGACTTTCATATTTTTCAAGATGGTTGAAACCACCAACCAGTCATTATAATATATATATATTAGCCTATCTATATATATGATGTATATCTAATCAATATTATCATCATTACATAAGCCATATAATATATGCATATATATATATAATATATGCGAATGGTTGCTCATATACAGTACCTTAGTGCGATGTTCGGCAGAGGGTACTTTGAGGATCATCCCACGAATCGTGGTTGTTGTTTTCATTAAAGCCTACTATTATTAAGCCAAGTCTCCATTCAGTGGCTCAAAATCCAATATATCACTGGGTTATAGTAATATTAATATTGGGGTTTCCTGAAATGGAGGTACCCCTAGGGCCCTAGTTATCATCCATTTTATTCTCGGATGTTCCGTCATAAACCATCCAGCGAGCTTGGGGCACCCCTATGCATGGAAACCTTCGTATGGCTATCCTCCAAGTAGATCACCAGAATTTCCGAAAAAATCCAGAAGCGATCAAACATGTATCCATTCTTCTAGTGATCAAACATGGCAATGCAAAATCACCCATGTACAGTATAGATATAATATATATATATAGATATAGATGATGATTAATATATAGATATAGATGATGATGATGATGATGATGATGATGATGATCAATTATGGACGGTTTGTTCCAATGCACATTTATAGATGTTTTTCCCATTGAAGTGCCCATTTTATTGGGGAGTTCTTCCCAAGTTCAACCAGCTCCTCGAGAATCGCAGGGAACGTGATGGTGGCCTTCTCGTTGAACTTGATCACGGCGAATTACTTGAAGCATGGCTCGCCCCTGGCACTGCTTCTGACGAATCTGATCAAGGTGGGGCAGTTGATACATCTCCGGATCGTTTTGATGGAAATATACCCTCTGGTAAACTAACAGAACTATGGAAAATCACAATTTGTTAATAGGTAAACCATCTATAAATAGGCCATGTTCAATAGCTATGTAACAAATTACCGGAGGGTACCCAGGGGGAAAGATGACAATTTTAGGGACTGAAGATTTTGACCACGATCCATGGATATAGGATGACATGGATAGATTTTGAGCAAAACCAGTTTTTCCACCCTAAAAAAAGGAAAAACACTGTAGCGTCCAACTGAAAGAACAGCAAAAATTACTTTTCTATCTCCTGTTATAATTCCTATAATGACACGGATCACTAAAACTGCGGGTTTTGCGCCGGCCATGTGTGGTCAGTGAAGCATTCTGATTTAATCCAGATGTTGTGATCATGAGAATGATGGGTTAATCCAGAAATGGAAATAATTTCCATTATTGATTTTTGTTGGGTTCTTAGCCACTAATAGATGATGGGTTGTATCATGACATTTGTATCATCAGCAATTGTGGGAAATGGGTAAGTGCTTCTACCACTTGGGTTTTTTCCCCGAGAAAAATGGGGGGGGGGTTAAACGGTTAACCCACAAAAGTATCCAGATGATAGTGGCAGCAGCAACCAGTGATGATTCATTTCACTCTCAACTCAGAACTCATGGCTGGGGAATGGGATGAAAAACGAGCACTTGTGGCAAATGGGTTACCCTCTGGTAAACTCACATAGCTATGGAAAATCACAATGTTTTATGGGTAAATTCACTATTTCTATGGGCCATGTTCAATATAGCTATGTAACAAATTACCGGAGGGTATCCAGGGGGAAAGATGACAATTTTGTGGACTGAAGATTGACCGTGATCCATGGATATAGGATGGCTAATGGGTTAGTTCTAAATGTGGTGTTTACCAGCTCACCTTGCCAGCCAAGCAACTTGTGTGCTTGGCTGCCGTGCGGTTCTCGAGGGACGTTGTTAAAGAGGTTGGGGCGCAGTTGGACGGCGTTGTTGAGTAGAAACATGCCTATAAAAAGAACCAAATGCGTTGGGATATACGTCACATATGAGTATACTATGGTTACATGTGACCTAAGTGTGGGATAGTATGGGGATTTAAGCCACATAACATTATGGTGGAACTATATAGTTATGTGGCTGTGGCGTATGGGGGGATATATATGTGGGATATATATATATATATGTTCAAGATGGTCAAAAGCACCAACCAGATATACCCTCTGGCAAACTAACATAACTATGGAAAATCACCATGTTTAACGGGAAATTTCACTATAAATGATCAATTTTCCATAACTATGTTAGTTTACCAAAGGGTAACTATGGTTACATGTGCACTTATGTGTGGAACTGCACCCCCAGTGGGAACTGCATGTTTGCAGCTGCGACTTCACCATCAAGTCTCCAAAAGTTTTTCTGAACAAAAAAAGCGGGTTCCCACCCATCTGACTGAACTTGATGGCTTTCATCGGATGTTGAAAACCCCCTAAGTTTAACATGGAACCTACCCTCTGGTACATGAAAATGGATGAAAATGGCATTTTACCATGGAAAACTCTGGTTATGTCACAGTACCTATTGAAAATGGCCATTTACTTCGTTGATTTACCCACTCATGGTGATTTTCAACAGCTATGTTAGGTTGCCAGAAGGTAACAAATACAGTCCTTTACTGTTGATGATGGCCAATTTGGGTTCCATGTTAAATACGATAAATACGTAGCGGCGCTTGGTAGTGAATAGGGGGATGGGATGATTGTTGCTAGTGATGGATAGTTCCGCCATTCCCATCCATTCCCTACGTTTAGCACCAGTAAGATAATGAGGATGTTATGGCTATATAACAACTATTCTCACTGGACATTATAGGGACTCAATGGCATTTTTCATGGGATTTCATGGAGATTCATTGGGAAATAGCTACATAATGCCTAGATAATGGCTATATAATGGCTATAAAATTTATAATGGCTAGAGAATGGCTATAACCATGGCAAAGTTTTTTTGGGGATCGCTTAGGATGCCATCATCGTCATCGCTGGATGCGCTTTATTCGCTGATCCTATCAGCTTGGAGCAGGGCTTCGGCTTCGTTGCGCAGCTGTTCTTCATTTTCCTCTGGTCCATCATGTCACTCGTCGAATATAGTCATCATATAGCCATTATATAGCCATTATCAAGCCATTATAATATATAGCCATTCTCAAGCCATGTCACTCGTCGAATCGGAGGATAGATAGGATCTGGGTAAATTTCATCACGACCGAACCCTGTTCTCCCGAAGCCTGGAATCATGGTAAATATATGGGAAATCATCCCCAAATGGAATAATAGTCACTATAACCAATAATGTCCTTTTGGTAAAAATAGGTTTGGGCCGGGAGGCCGGGAGCTGGTTAATCCCATCTATCATCAAACTGACCTGTTGTTTTTCAGGGGTTTCTTCAAACCCCTCTATTTTCATCAACCAACCAATGGGAAAAGGACATCTATGGTCACTCCTCGAATCGGAGGATGGATAGGCTCGGGGGGGGGTCCTAAAAATATTCAGGTAGCCCTTAAACAAAAGTCGATCATGGTAGCGATGGTAGCCACATATTTTAGGGAACCTCCATTTGTTGATTTGGTCCTTTTTGGTTTGTTTTTCTTTGATGTTGTGGTCCTGTATTTGTTTGTTCTCCCTTGTCACTCGGATCCGTTTGTTCAACAACGCTTGTGCAAAAAAAGAAAAAAAAGGTTGAGGGGCGATAGCTTAGGAGAATAGTTGCTTCGATCCTGGACATGGATGACATTAACTAGGTCAATCTTGGACGGGTAGAAACTAATCCCAAATAGTCTTTTGGTATCATTGGTTTATCTACGTTCACAAGCTAAGATTTTTTTGCAGGGTATCTGGCTGATTGGCCATGTTAGTAGTATGAGATCCATCACGGACCGTCCCCAAGTATCAACCATTGGGGCAGTTTAAATCTGGATGAAATTAATCATGACCATATCATGACCAAAAACATCGTTTTCCGTCACTGGAATGATGGTTTACATACGAAGAATCATCCCAAGATTTTGGCCGAACTTTTAGGGTTATTTGCAGGGTAGTGAATTACGAGAAGGAGAAATCCAGGATGGTGCAACCTGAGTTTACTGTTGCAACTCATGCTGCAAATTTCAAGGTTTCCATCAGCCAACTCCTTGACGTTTCAATCAACCGCCCTGTTTTCATTCATCTTTTTGGTGACCGGTTTTTCTACGGAATTCATGGCTGGTGAGTTCTTGAGTCATGGCTGGTTAGTCCAATAAACCATCCAGAAAACCATCCTACATTTTAGAAATGGCTGGCATAGACCGTCCCAATGTGTCATCATAGTATCAGTTTGTTAGTACTGAGTAAAACCAACGGTATCCAGAGAGGTCTTCCATTTTGAGAGTTAGTGACTTCGCGCCCTTGCTGTTTTCGGGGCGCGTTCGCAAACTTTTTCGCGCCTGTCATTGAAAGCACCGAGGAAGGTTTTCCCAGAAACCTTTCAACAGGAAGGCCTTTGGCAAGGCTTTCGCTGTCACCTGCCAGCTGGGAAAGCACCATCTGATTGTGTCTGAAAATGTGGTATAATGTGGGTAGAACAATATAATTTAATAAATAAACCCCCAAATCACCATAAATAGGTGGCTCCCAAATGGGTTGTTTATTATGTTTAAGCAAATCCGCTTGCCTGGTGGTGGTGAAAGATATCCCAAAACTTGGGGGAAAACCCGCAATAATGATGGTAAAACCATAGAAATTGGGGAGATGACTATCGATGTTGGGTCCAGATTTATCGAGTCAAGGGGATCAAACAAAATTGGATTCAAGTGATGATAGTGGCATTAGGGACAGCAACGATGGGGATGTAGCTATGTAACCAAACGGAATTGTTCGGATATGACAATTTGGCCTGGTTGTTTCATGGTTTTTGCTTCTCAACTTGTTCTCAGCCATATTTGGGGTGAGAATCCCTGGGGTTGAAAAACTAAAGATCAGCCAGATTATGACGGCAATGACTTTTCATACGCAGGACACTTGCTGAGGGTTTCCATGCTCATGGGGGGCCCCAATAGCTGAATGGTTTACACGAAAAATCCCACATTTTTCAATGGATGATAACTGGGGGTACCCCGGTTTCAGGAAACCTCCAGAAAAACGAAGCCCCGGAAGCTGCTACCGTTCGATGCCGGTCCCAGGCATATTGCACGGCAAGGGTCGCCGCGTGAAGTGAAGCAGAGGATCAACCTCACTACGAGATGACCAGAAGTACTGGTTAATGAAAATCATACATAGATAATATTTGATTATATATATATATACACTATTCAGTTATTCAAAATAAACCCGTTTTTTTGTTATCAGATTACTTCCCTCTCCCTCTATATATACATATACACACACATATGATTAGCTTGCGTTTTTTGTGCAAGTGGAAACGTGAAAGCCCCATGTTTGTGACATTTTATCCTCAAGAGCTACAGTCTAGGGTTCCAGGCGCCTATGGATGCTGGTGGTCTGAATTGGGGACTCCTTGTAGGGTCACATCTCATTCGATCCTGGGCTGGCTGGTCACACTATTCATCTCTTGAGGCAGAGATCTCATCCTTGCGTGTGGAGGTGTTTAGGGCTCGTGAGCTTGTGACTGGATTCAATCAAGTCCTTGAAGCGTGTGAGAAATCCAATTTCTGGTTGCGTACAGCGAATCAAGGGGCCATCATCCTTCTTTTTGTCATTTTTGTTTCTGTGGTGTGTTGGGTGGCTGCTTTACGTGTGTTCAAAACCAGTGAGCATCTGGTGAAACCCGAGATCCATCGTGCTTTGCCTGCAGTGCCAGAGGTTGTTGCCCCGCCAGTTGTGAAAGCTGGCCCTTGCCGACCATCTGACCGGCTTCGAATCAAAGAAGAAAGGGCTTAGACATGGACCGGTCACTCAATATACCGGAACCACAAATCCTGCTCCATTTCCCGGAAGATGCTGGGGGTTATTTTCACCATCATAGAATATTGATGCATCGAGTTTCTGGAAGTCAATGGGTTCTTTTAACTCCTGATCTGGAACTTGAAGTTGCAGACCTCAGTGCTCGTCGACACCGCATTTTGCCACGACATGGTGTTTTTCCTGCAGACATAGCTGATGAGTGCTATGTCTTTGATGAAGTGCCTAGGGCTGAGATGGAGCGCCAGAGAAGAATGGCGAAGACCATGGGATCAATTCTTGGCGATGCTCAAGTTGTCAATGTTGACATCCAGCAATGGTATGTGTCTGATCCCTCCTCAGCTCGGTTTGGGCAGGCTCTTCCTGTCGAAATCGTCGGAGACGTTGTGGCACTGGGTCAGCATGGTGTTGTGCAGTGGGATGATGAAACCGAGTATGTGCGAGAGATGGCGACTTCTGAGATCGAAAGATTCAAGGAGTCCAAGAAGGATTCATTGGGGGATGCTAGGCTGCTGGGAGAACACAAGGACCCTCAAGGCAAACGACATATGACGCTTCAAGATGCACTTGCACTTATGTCTGAAGAGAAGTTCGATGACTGGGGCTTTGTCGGCCCGCGTGCAACGAGAGAGTATCTGGTTGCGATCCGTGAGGGTCCTGGTGATTTGATCTCATATCACAATGGGTGGGTTCGCTCATCGGGGATCTCCAACAGTTCTGCAATTGCTCATGAACATCGGTCATTGATTGAGACCTTGCGACTTGGCTTCTCCAAAGACCAGCTCGACCTGAGCAACCTCACATGCATGGAGAACGTTGTGAGACGTTTGATTGTGCTTGAAATGGCAGTGGCGAGAAACCCAGCAGCCCCAGACTTCTCTGGTCTGGATGTTGTCAGTGAGACTCCAATTGCTGCACAAGGCCAAGCCTACGTCTCAGCCATCACCAGCTGGGTGACTGAGAAGCTGAAGGAAAGGTCGCAGATCCAGAAGCAGGCACGGCTCTTCAAGGAGGAGTTTGGAAGAAGAGGTGGCAAGAAGTTTGGCGATGAGGATGACGAAGACAGTGGCAAGAACAAGTGGAAAAAGAAGAAAAAACGGCTGATGGCGGCGGGGCGGTTGGCTCCGCTGCGGCCTCTTAGTTCCACTTGGCTTTTGTGGAGCTGGTCCAGTACCTCCTTGGTCCCGCTCCTTGCTCAGTTTTTCTGGAGGTGTCCAATGAAGGTTGGTCATCAGAGGCGGCGGCATGGGGATCCTTTTCCCTTGGACAGTGGGGCATTGCGTGATCTGGCCGCTGAATCTGGGTGTTTTGAACCGCAGCGAGCTCAATGGATTGGAGATTCTCTGAACAAGCTTGCTTTGCATACCAGTAATTCATTCAATTTTCCACATTTTGCCACAGAACGGCCGCCCACTGCAGTTCAGGATTTTGTGATGGGTAGAGTTGTGGAGTCACTGAAGCTTCATGGTGACAAGCCGCTGAACATGACTCCTGAGACTGCCCTCCATGAGCTGCAGGCTGCCGAATTCTCCTACGATGGAATGCCGAACAATCTTGCGTCCTATGATCCTGGGAAGTTGAAAGTGCTTCGATCTCAGGTTCAGCCGAAGAGGATTTCCAAGTTTTTGCCTGTGGAGCCTGCAAAGTTGGTTGAACATTATGAGTCACAGATTTTGCTGCCTAATCATGCGGATGATTCTGGTTTCTCACCTTACTGGGATCCTGCATTAAAGTATGACCGTTCAAGGAGGCTGGACTTCATTTTGCGACTACATAAGTCGGGCTTGGTTAAACTTAGACGTTCTCCTAAGTCATTCATTGGAGCTTTCTTTGTGAAGAAGAAGACACCTGATGCTATCAGAATGGTTTTGGATTGCAGAGGGACCAATAAACTCCACCAACCGCCGCCGACAACCCGCTTGGGGTCTGCAAGATGCTATGCGGATCTGGACTTGGCAGAAGTTGAGGAAGGCAATGGGTGGGGGATTGAGGCAGACGTCAATGATGCCTTTTACAACTTTTCTATCCCTGAACTCACCCACTACTTTGCCTTCAATCACCCGCTGGAAGCTCACATGTGGTCAGATTTGGGGGTTGATGCCGCCTCAGTTTATGATCCAGCGACCAGGCAGTATGTGCAGACGGATGCGCATGAGTTGTTGTTCCCATGTGTGGAAGCGGTTCCTATGGGTTGGTCGTGGGCCCTTTTTCTCTGCAATGAAGCTGTTTTGAACATCTGCCGACAGCATTCTCCGTGGATGGATGGTGTTTTTAGGGAACGAAAAGAGACTCCACAGCTTGATCAATTTCGTACGTCGCTTGGGGTTTATGTTGACAATATTACCATAGTTGGCAGGGAAAAGTCGGATGTTTGTTTGCGGGCCAGTTGGGTCCGGGAAGCTTTTGAGCGTGCCGGCATCCCACTGACATGGTCACAAGAATCCCCAGTTCAGTCTCTGGAATCTGTTGGTTGTAACTTGGACTTTGTGCACAAGCGTGTTAGCAACAAGCCTCGTCGTGTTTGGAAATTTTTCCTTGCAACTCTGGCCTTGCTCAGACGTAAAAAGCTGAAGGGAAAGGTCTTGCAGATTTGGGCGGGGCATTTTACCTCGCTCTGCTCCCTTTACCCATGTGCTCTTGCGTGTCTGGAGCATATCTATAGGTTCATTGAAGTCAGCCGTGAGAAGCGCATTCAAGTTTGGAGTTCAGTGCGGTGTGAGTTAAAACTGGCTTGTGCTCTGGTGTGGTTGGCATGGCGGGACTTAGGTGCCCCATTATGTCAGACAGTTGAGGTAGGGGACTCTTCTTCATCTGGATATGCATTGATGAGCTGTCGACCGGGTCAGGATAGACTTAGACGGGCTATGGCCTCGCAGGAAAAATGGCGCTTCATTCCAATGCCTGAGAACCTTCGGAGCGCAGCTGCCAGAAAAGATGCTGAGGAGTTTGAGCAGATCCTGTTTGGAATGTTCACTGCAGCCGATTCTGGTGGAGGCCCTGGTTCTGTACGGCCTGCGGGTCTTTCCACGGGTTATGGGCATATGGTTATGGATGCTATGAGAGAAGGGTCATGGCTGGGAACGTCTGCAATCCGCTCGCAGTTTCGGGCGGCTCCTTCTAAGCGCATTGATGTTGACATCCCCTCACTGGTTGAACCTCTGGACAATTTTTTGCTGACACAAACAATTTTCGCCTTCTTTGGGCGAGGCGCTGGAAGAATGTTGATGAGCATATCAACATCAAGGAGTGTCGTGTTGCTTTGTCCTCATTGAGACGTAGCTGTCGAGTTCGAGACTTGATGTCCCACCGAAAGCTGACAGTTTCTGACAACATGGCAACAGTTTCAGCGCTTAGCAAAGGGAGGAGCTCTTCCTTTAAGATGAATAAGTTGTGCAAAGTCGCAGCAGCTTTTCAGCTTGGGTGTGGCATGCTCTGGCATCTGAGACATGTGGAAACCAAGCGCAACGTGGCTGATGAGCCATCTCGCAACTTCGAAAGAGGGGCCCGTAACCGTGAACAGAAACCTTCAATGATAGTGCCAGATCCCTGCAGTGGGCTTCTTTCAGAGCCTAGCCAGTCGAGCAAGCAGGTGACTTTTGGTGATGCGGCGAAGGGGGCTGTACCCCGTGGTAAGGGCAATTTTTTCCTGGAGTTGTTTGCAGGTACAGGTAGGCTTTCAGGAGCCATTCGAGACTTGGGTGGTGCAGTGCTTGAACCGGTCGAGATCACGAAGGATTCAGCATTCGACCTTCGTAGGAAAGAAACTCAGAGACTCATTTTGAGGTGGGTCAAAAGTGGGACGATTGGTTTTGTTCATTTGGGCACACCATGCACTATCTGGTCAAGGGCTCGTCACGGGGTCAAGAATACTATTAGGAACTTGGTAAGAGAGGCAGTTGGTGTTGAGCTTGCGTTGTTTTCATGTGAAGTTATTCTTGCGTGCAATCGAGCAGGTGTTCACTGGGCCATTGAAAATCCTAGGTCTTCTCGTCTTTTCACGTTTGAACCGCTGGTCAGAGCCATGCAGTCGGGTCCATGCTATGAGATCAATTTTGACATGTGCAGCTATGGTGAAGTTTACAAAAAAGAGACAAGCATTTTTTCTTCCCTTGGCAAGTTGCAAAAGTTGGAGCGTCATTGTGGACATCGACGGCATAGTGTCTGGCTCAAAGGTGTTACTAAGGTTGAGTTCCCTGGTGGTAAGCATGTGTTCACGAATAGGACATCGTTGGCAGGAGCATACCCACAACAGTTGTGTGAACAGTATGCAGCAATTCTTCATGATGCCAATATTTG